GGTTCTGTTGTCATTTTCTTAATGTTCCTGACATTTTGTCAAGAAATACAGAAATGGCAGTAATTTCAGTACCTATAGGTTTTAAAACCTGTTCATGAAAATACGGAATCCCATGGCTGGCTGTGGGACTTGATTGATGCACATATTGGCACCTAGAAAACTTACAGGCATTAAATGAAGAAATTGGCATGGGTGTAAAATTCAGTTTAAATGTTACGTCTGAATTTATTCTTTTGGGGTCTTTAATTTCTATCGTGTGACTGCTTTTTTTTTAATAGTTCTAAGTTGTTGGATTGCAAACAAAAAATACTGGAGTAGCAGACCATGAGAAAATGCATTTTTGTAAATATATGAAATTTATCTCTTGGAATGGCATTTATGTATTTCTGCTTAAAACTATACAGGTTATGGAGGTTTTGATGACTACGGTGGCTACAATAATTATGGCTATGGAAACGATGGTTTTGATGACAGAATGAGAGATGGAAGAGGTAAAGTTTCATTCTGAAGTAAACTGTAACTATATTTGCTTTATACTTAGTGATATACAATAAGGACTCATAAATTAACTCAATCATACTTCAGTGCATTTTTTTTTTTTTTTTAAATCGGTACCGGGGATTGAACTCACGACCGCCTGCTTGCAAGGCAGGTGCTTATGCCGCTGAGCTAAATCCCCAGCCCCCGTGCATTCCTTTAAAGAGCTTTACCCCTTGTAATCAATGTATTCCTTTGTACATGTATCTGTAATGGTTACAGTCCTGGTCAATTTTATTTTTAGGGATGGGAGGACATGGCTATGGTGGAGCTGGTGATGCAAGTTCAGGTTTCCATGGTGGTCATTTCGTACATATGAGAGGGTTGCCTTTTCGAGCAACGGAAAATGACATTGCTAATGTGAGTAATTTAGTGATGTTTTTATACTAGCTATCAGTTTTGAAGGACTAACACTCCCTCATCCTTTATAATTTAACATCAGTCCAGGTTGAGGGTATTGCTCATTGCTAGATCACTTGCCTAGTATACACAAGATCTTCTCTACCCTGTCTTTAGTAGCTGATATTTTTTGTCTCCATTTTCTGCTTACGTAAGATTGAGGTGGGTAAAGAGCTATTTTTATAAGGATAAAATCAAGGATAAAAGTGCAAGGCATGGTTGAGCATGCTTATTGTCCCAACTGTTTGGAGAACTGAGGCAGGTTTGAGATTTTGGGATCCTGTTTCCAGAAAACTAAAGATGTAGCTCACTGTCCCATGAACTTGATCCCCAATACTGTTGTGGGGTAATAAATACGTAGTTTAAGAGTAAGCATAGAGTGATATTAGCAGGAAGAGTGCAGGTTTTGAAAGAGTGAATTGTAACAGATTTTATTGGTTTGACTTCCAGGCTAGGTAGGTAGATAGATGCTTTTGCTGTCACTAATTCAAATGAAAGCAATTGATTGTAGGTTAACTAAAGGGTAACTAGATTTAAGTCCATAGACCAAATGTAGTCACACACACACATATACTCCTATGCCTTTACTCATTGAACAATTGAGACTTGATGGTATAAAGGTAAAAATACCATCTGGCTGCTAAAGCAAAGGTTTATTCTAGATGAGTCATGTGCACAACCTGCGTATCTAGTAATATGGCCCAAGACAGTTCCTCCTCACTCAGTACTGCCAAAAGATTTTGAGTACCCAAAGGACTTCTTTTGGGCAGTTCTATGGATTGAATCCAGGGCCTTCATGCTCATCTACCACCCTACACTCCTTATTTTATTTCTATTTTTTATTTTTTTCCTTTTTGAATTTTGAGACAGGGGTTGCTATTTTACCCAGGCTGAGCTCAAAGTTAGGATTCTCCTGTCTCAGTCTCTTGAGTGGTGAGATTACAGGTGTGTAGCACTACCCTCAACTAAAAACACTTTTTTTATTGGTGGTGTCAGGGTCAAACCCAGAGCTTCATACATTGTTAGGTAAGCACTGTACCACTGAGGTGTACATCCCAAATCATTGACTTTTTTTTTAGGTTTATTGTTATTTTGTTTTGAAGGGGTGGTATTAGGGACCTTGCTCGGTCCTAGGCAAGTGCTCTACCATTCAACCACATCTCCCTTTTTGAGACAGAGTCTCTGTTGCTCAGGCTCACCTCAAATATGCTAAACTCTCCTCTGCTTCCCAAGTAGCTACCATTGTAGGCATGTTCCACCATGTTCTGCTTAAAATAGTGTTTTATGTAGTCCAGGCAAGTCTTGAACTGACTGTGTAGCCCATTCTGGCCCAGAATTTGTGGAGATCCTCCTACCTCAGCCTCCCAAGTGCTAGGATTATAGGTCTGCACCACCATGCCTGGTAACATACCTGTTCTCGTGGTAAAGTGTGATTGGGATGGATTACTTTCTAGGCTTAATAGGCAGCTGGCACCCTAAAACAGTAGAAAAGTTTATTTCAATGGATGAAGAGAATCAAAGTTTGTAACTCTTATTAACTGGAAGAAAAATAACACTTGTTTCCTTTTATTTAGTTCTTCTCGCCACTAAATCCAATAAGAGTTCACATTGATATTGGAGCAGATGGAAGGGCAACAGGAGAAGCAGATGTAGAGTTTGTGACACATGAAGATGCAGTAGCTGCCATGTCTAAAGATAAAAATAACATGCGTAAGTACCATCTTCCAGTGTGCTTTTTTTTCTTTCTGGCAGTTCCTGAAAGAAAACATGGCCTTCGCACTGAACCCCAACCCCAGGCCTTGTTTCCTTATTGAGACAGGTCTCAGGTTGCCAGGGCTAGGCTTAAACTTGTGATGCTGCTACCTTCAGCCTCCTGTGCTGGGATTGCAGGCAGGGCTCACCACACCTGGCAATGGGCCTACATGTAAGCTCTTTTTATAGGGTAAATCAGTAATTTGTTTAAATAAATGTAAGAGGTCCTGTTTAGCTTTTATGTAGACTTTGTATTTGTTAAATGCTTTTTATATCTCATAACGGTTTAGAGTACTTGCAGTTTAATACTAGCTTTTATGGATAAATTTGATCCATCCTTTACTCTTTTAATTTTTGTCTTAAAGAACATCGATACATTGAACTCTTCTTGAATTCTACTCCTGGAGGCGGCTCTGGAATGGGAGGTTCTGGCATGGGAGGTTACGGCAGAGATGGAATGGGTATGTAAAGTTTTTAAAATAAATAGCCTTAGCTACTTGGCAGTTAGTTTCAAATACTTTTTTTTTTTCTCTCTCTCTCTCTCTCTCCTTATAAAGATAATCAGGGAGGATATGGATCTGTTGGAAGGATGGGAATGGGAAACAATTACAGCGGAGGATATGGTACTCCTGACGGTTTGGGCGGCTATGGTAAGTGTCTCTGATTTGTAATTAGTCCAGCCCTCATGCATAGCATGCCTAATTGAAAGCACAGATACTATTTTTATTATCTTATATGTGGATATTTTGTATGTGGATGTCTTCTGGTCAGTGACTCCTGTCTTTTTCTTCAGGCCGTGGTGGTGGAGGCAGTGGCGGTTACTATGGGCAAGGTGGCATGAGCGGAGGTGGATGGCGTGGGATGTACTAAAAACATAACATCAACACAGAAGTTCTAACAGCAGCATCTGGTCTACTAGACTTTCTTACAGATTTAATTTCTTTTGTATTTTAAGAACTTTATAATGACTGAAGGAATGTGTTTTCACAATATTATTTGGTAAAGCAACGGATTGTGATGGGAAAATCTGTTTTCTGTAGGTTTTATTTGTTGCATACTTTGACTTAAAAATAAATTTTTATATTCAAACCACTGATGTTGATACTTTTTATATATACTCGTTACTCTTACGATGTGCTGCCTTCATAAGATTTGGGTTGATATATTTTATTGTTAGCTTTACAAAACATAGTGTAGTATAATATTTGAGGATAATGGTTCACTTCTACATAAACTGCAAGTCTTATTAATAAGCAGACATCTGGAATAGAGCTTGAATAATTAGTGTAACTTTTCTCTAATTTCTCCTTGTCAGCACTGTAAATATAAAGCCTAAAGGTGAGTTTAGGTGGCTTCAGGAGTAAAAATTCAGCTAATTCTATATTCTTTTTCAAATGTCATCTACCAGTACAGTTTTGAAATGTTGATCAAATAAGAGTTATCTGGATTTCTAAATATTCATAATTGTGTTACCTAGGGAAGAGAGTATTGGGAATTTAAATGCTAGCCCTAGATTTTAGAGTAAAATCCTCAGCACTTGGCTGAAGTACCAAAAATGTTTCCCAAAAGTGAAGAGTTGTAAGTTATCTCAAAGTGTCTTAGAGTAGGTTAAGTTTCTCAGTGACAAAAGAATTGAAGTATTTACTAAGGAGTATAATTCTCACAGATGTACTTTCAATTTCTTACCCAGTCCAGTATATGGTTTTTTAATAATCTGTATAAGTGATTACATTAAAATAATGTAAGACAAATTGTGTTATATAAGAAACCTGCAGTTGGACTTTGCATCTGGTAACAGCTTGGGGTTTTAGTTAAAACATACTATATGTAGCAAGGAAAAGGTGCTTTTTTAATTTTATTACTTTGATCAGTATGGCTTTTCCAAATTGGCTAATTGATCAAAATGAAACCTGTCAATGTGAATTCATTTATTGAACTTGTTACTTGTTTTGCTAGAAATGTTATGTAATAAACGTCAATGTGGGAGATAATAGTATGGTGTCTGTCCTAGAATGCTTTGTGTTGGTTACTGATGATAAAACAAATTTACAGAAAGTACTGTGTCCAAATTAAAGGTAAATTATACTTTTTTCTGTTAATAGGAAAAAGGAGTATTATGGTCTGTCTTTGGGGAAGGGTTCGAGGCTCTGAATGCTCTGCTACACTCCCAGCCCAGTGGTTATTCTCACTGTACCTAACCTAGGTACTTAACAATGTTACATACCTCTTTAAAGTTTATGTGCTTTTATTTTCTGATAGTGCCCTCTTAAAATCTTCAAGCAGTGAAAGTATAAAATGTTACAAATAGAGGCTAATTTTTCAAATTTTTATTCGATTTATAAAATTCACACATTTAAAATATTACAGGATAAAAGAATTGTTAATTCATTGGCACCATGATAGTGTCATTGTGGTAGTACTGGCTAAATAAGACGAATAGTCTGTGCAGTTACCATAAAAAAGGAAAAGGTAGTGTTCAGTCTATAACCACAAAAGTAAGAATTAATGAAAGTTTTTGTTTCTTCCTTTCATGGTCCTGGGGAGTGAACTAGAGGCAGTCACACTGAGCTGTGTGAGCTAAGTCCACGGCCATTTTTCATCTTTCTGAGCTGTCACAAAGTTGCCCAAAGCTGGGCTTGAACTTTGCCTCCTGGAAGTGTTGGGATTACAGGCATGTACCTTCATTCCTGGCTTGAAAAGGTTTTAAACAAAAAATAATCAATGGCTCTTAAGCCATAAAAGCTGACTTGAATACAAAGCATAACTACATACCACGGTTTACATGCTAAATGAAGCGACTGAAATTGGAATTCAACATTTTAAAATTTGAAACATCATAAAACATTACTTGAAAATTGACTTATACAGACTTGTTTTTAGCAATCATAAAAATGTTAATCCTATCAATACAAAAAGGTTGAGAATATAATTACATCTCTTGATGTCTATCAGTGTTCAAGAAAGATCATTTAGAAATTCAAGACAGATCTTAAGTTGACCTTAACTGACTTGAAAGTATGGGTTCTGGAAAAAATAGATCTTCAAGTAAAATAAGGGTTTCATACTTTGGCAATTTAGAAAGTCAGATCTTAATGTATATACTCATGAGGAAAAGATCTGCAGAGTAAGTACTTATGAGGCAAGGACACATCTATAATTACTACATGAAACACTTAGAAACGTCTGATTTCTATAGGCTATTCTTGGAAAATTCACAAAATTAAAGGGCATGGCTAAAAAAAGTAAAACCCCGGATGATGAGTGATTACAGTTTAAATTCCAGTGCTATCAGCAATATAACTAGGTTAGTATTCACTGAATCAGCGTGCAGTAGGTCAGGTATGTTTCACAGAAGGACAAAATCACATCTTCACTGACCCAAGACCCTGACTAGAGGTGCTTGGCAGGCTGAGTGACACCTGCTGTGATGCGTACTGCAGTCTCGGGTTACTTCAGCAATGCCTCCTAGCAGCTAACTCAGCGGGCGATGTGTGATAGAAAGCTCTGTCAGATGCCATCCTGTGTCATGGGAAGGAAACAGTTTCTCTTGGTCTAGGTGCTTAGAGAAGCATCTTTCCCCACCCCATTCCAGTACATGGGATTCAACCCAGGGTCTTCACACAGTCCCAGAGCCAAGTGTTGCCCATTCTCAGCTCAAACTTGCGATCCTCTGTCTCCACTTTGGGAGTGCTGGGCTTATGTGTAGTTTTGCAGGGGATGTAAGCCTATCCCTGCTGTCAGCCCTGCAGCGGTTTATGTACTACCTCTGAATTACAGTCTGACCCCCTTTCTGTTACAAATTGGAAATTGGCATATGGAAAAATCTGCAATTGGCTTATGGTAAAAACTCGATAGCACAGTTTTAGAAAGAGCCAAAGTAAATTCTGTAGGGTAAAATACTATCCTGTTGCAAATGAGGAAAAGGAAAATAAATTGGAATCTTACCAGAATAACAAATCTGTTGAATTGGCAATGTTAATACTCGTAAAAAGTGTGCGTTTCCAGTCTTGGATAGTTGCAAAGCTTTAAAGTGCAGGAGGAGGATTCGGCACCATCCAATGGCGACTGGACAGGAACGAGAACCATCCGAGCCACATTGGGAGGCAGCTCTCAGTGTAAGGCAGGTGTGTACAGGGTGCTGTGAGGCCTTGCAGGGGATCACACGGCTTCAATTCAGCATGCTGTGGGTGAGTCCGGTAACGAGGCAAGTTCATAACAAATCCTACTGTTGGTTGCTGCTATGAGTTCATTACAGAGATGAAGGGCATGAGCACCACTCGGCTACTGAAGAAGGGCTGCACGGATGCGGAGTCCCAGTGGTCTCACGGCCTTGATTGGTCATGGGAGCTATGCAGGCCACTGCGTCAGGGCAGGTTGGACGAGCAGCTCTGAATGAGCAGCGCGTGGCAGGAGTCGCAGACCCGCACCGGCTTCGGTGAGGAGGGCAAGGGCAGTTCGTTGTCAGAGCAGGCATTACAGAAGATTTCCCCACAGTTCCTACAGTGGTGCTGTTCCATGGAGAGATGAGAACATCAGCTATTAAAGTTAGCAGCCAGTTTCATGCTAAAAGCTTTTGACTCCCTGCCTCCTTTACCTTTCTCTTAGAAAGTGAGAATTCCGTTTCGCAAAGCTTACAATGTGTTGCTTCTTTATCTTTCAGCCAAACCAGTCCCTACAGTAGGAAGAAAACTGGGTATTAATGCTCAAAATGTTAACACTAAAGTGACATATGAGCCAGCCATGGTGGTAACTGCTGTAATCTCAGCATTTGGGAGACTGAGGATTACCACAAATTCAAGGCCAGCCTGGAACCTGGGAAGGGTCCTGCCTCAAAAAAAAAAAAAAGTATCCAAGAATATTTCACAGCAATAGACTTGTGAAGGATCAAAAATAAGGGGCTGGGCATAATGCTGCACATCCGGAATTCGACCACTCTGGGAGCCTGAGGCAGGAGGACTGCAAGTTGAGAGAGACCCTGTCTCATAAAGGGGAATAGAGGGCCGGGGAGTAGTTCAGTACAGAGGCCCTAAGTTCAGTCCCCGAGCGCTGTGGTACGGAAAAAAGTCACTGAAGAGAGAGAAGCAAGACACTGATGTGAGAGTGAGCAGAACTCTACATCACTCCGGAGAGCAAAACTGATGAATCAAAAGCAAACTACATTCATGCCATAATCCCAGCACTTGGGAGGTTGAAGCAGAAGGATGGCTGCAGAGTTTGGGGCCAGCCTGGGGTACACAGACCTTGTCTCGACAAAACAACAACAAAAAACCTCCGCAAAACTAGAGTATTAAGTCCTAGTAGACTAAAATAATTGAAAGTAGCTCTCAGGGCAGCTGGATCTAAGGTGGGTGTGGTACAAGGAAGCGAAGAGTTCCTTTTTAAGTCTTCTTAGGACTTATTTTTGGGGCCACGGATTTAGTTCAGCTTGCCTGGCAGGCATAAGGTTGTGAGTTCAATCTCTGGTACCAAAAGAAGAAACATTATTTTCATGGACCACTTTTTTTTTTTTTTTTTTTGTCTTTTTCGTTTTTATCAGTACCAGGAATCAAACTCACTACTGCCTGCTTGCAAGGCAGGCGCTTATGCTGCTGAGCTAAATCCCCAGCCCCTCGTGGACCACTTTGATGAAGCACGGGCGTGTGGGGTAGGAAATGTCACTGAAGTGTTTTACCATGCATTCTGCTTTCTCATGGAAGGGACCTGTGCAATCGGCTGGACAGACAGCTGCACACAGATGTGTGCTACCGACTTCGTCCACATGGATTCACCTGCTCAGGGCTGAAAGGACACTAGGGGCTCCTAAAATTATGTAGGAAGAGGAAACTGAGGCTCAGGATGTGTACAAACCACTTAGTAATAAACTGACACAGGAACTGAAGCACTGAGTTCAGAGCTCTTTGAGCCACAGTGGGCAGTCTGTATCACTGAAAGCTCTAAAAGATTCACCATCAGTGCTGTGGGGATAAGAACCAAAATGTTAAGGTCAACCTCCATCAGGAAGACAATACAGTGACTCGCCATTAGAGGAGGAGGGAAGAGCAGGCCCCACTCCTGATTGCCCCATTAGATGCCACCGCCTGTGCAGCACATAAGCAGGGCAGGCAAGCTCTCTGTCTCTGCACGGTCTGGCCCTATAGTGGCCAACGGTTACAAAAAGCTTGGCTTTATGCTGGGGACATTCACACAGAATTACATGTTCCTACTTGAGAAAGCATTTTCTACTTACCTGCAAGGCTTTGTTAGCTTCTTTTATATCTTCTATTTTAAGTTTGGATCTAAAAAAATTAGAAACAGGTCTACATTTTAATACACCTTGAAATACAGAACATCTAGCAATTCATTAGAAAGGCACTGGCTTCACAAAGGATGTGAGACTCACTGGGCACTGTGAACCCACCCAGCAGCACAGGGATCCAGGCGTGGGAGGGATGAAACGCTTAGGGCCACAGTACACTTCCGACCTTTTGCAAATATGAATGTAAAGGGTGACTAAAAGACAGTGAATATTTAAATTTTTGAAGTTTAAAAAATGTAAAAGACAGGGCTGGGGATTTAGCTATGCCAGGCTGTAACACACTTTTAAGTGTAAACATTCACAACATTTTATGATTGTTCTTCACTGACAAAACATCTAAAGCATAAATTCAGTCAAAAACATTATGCTATGGCCAGGCGTGGTAACACACTTGAAATCCCAGCACTAAAGAGGCAGACTGCCATGAGTTCGATGCCAGTTTGAGCTACATAGTGGGTTTCAGACCAGCCTGGACTACATGGAGAGGCTCTGTCTTAGAAAACCAGAAAGAAGAAAAAAGAAAAACCCTTCCCTGGGTTTCATTACTATTTCTTTTTTTTTTTTTTAACTTTTTTTCTTTTTTTTTTATCAGTACTGGGGATCGAACTCACAATCACCTGCTTGCAAGGCAGGTGCTTATACCGCTGAGCTAAATCCCCAGCCCCTTCATTACTATTTCATAGTATGCTCTCACCGAATTTAAAATAGTATCTAAATAGCCAAAAAAGCCTGAGGCCAGTTAAAAAACAGTGACTAGGTGGCATTTAGGAGGCTGAGGCAGAAGGACTGTGAGTTGGAGGCCAACCTACTTACATATTAAGATCCTGTCTCAAAAGACCAGAAAAAACAATGCTCCACACTCAGGATCTAGTATGCATAAGGCCCTGGGTTTAATCCCTAGCATAAAAACTGATCCAACCCCCAAGTTTGTAAAGAACTGTTCTTGCTGTTATGTGGTAGGCAGAAATGTGTCCTCTGTACTTATTTCAGTGTGACAACAGGAATGAGGGAGTAGAGAGGCGTATCGCCCATCCATCCTACGGGGGCACCTCCCTCTGTGGGACCAGGAGCGAGCCCGGGGCAGCTGGCACTGAGTTAAGCCCCCAAGCCTTTTTATTGTTTGTTTGGAAATGGAGTCTCATTTAGTTGCCAGACTGGTGTTAAACTTGCCATCCTCCTGCCTCAGCCTCCCAAGTAGCTGTAATTACAGACATGCACCTAAAACACCCAGCTCTCCTACATGTGCTTAAGTAAAATAACCTCAGATTACAGAAGAACAGCATACAGTGGACTACACTCAGGTACTCAGGTTAGGTATGAAATCAGCATTTGTGTTTTGTTTTGTTTTTTTTTGTCTTTTTCTTTTTTATCAGTACCAGGGATCGAACTCACAACTGCACACTTGCAAAGCAGGCACTTATGCTGCTGAGCTAAATCCCCAGCCCCCAGCACTTGTTTTTAACTTTTTTATCTTTTTTGGTTGGGTGGGATAAGACAGGGTCTTGCTGTGTAGTTCAAGCTGGCCTTGAACTCATGCGGTAGCCTAGGCTGGCTTCCAAAGTGCAGTGATCTTCTGCCTCAGCCTCCCGAGAGCTGAGATTACAGACATGCACCACCATATCCGGCTCTAATTTTGTGCCTTTTTATGCTAATTTTCTAATTATAAAATATCAAAGAATTTTATAAAAGTGAATGGAGCATGAGTCACTATACTTTTTCAGCTTTTTGTTATCCATATTAAAAGAAGTGAATTATGTCTAAATGTGACAACAGTACATTCATTAAATTAACCTAAGTTTACACCAAACACCTGGTCACACATCAGGTTTTCTGAGACAAGGCCTCACTATATAGTTCAGACTAGCTTTGTATTCACTATGTAGCCCAGGCTGGCCTTCAATTCACAGCAATCCTCCTGCCTCAGCCTCCCAAATGCTGGGATTACAGGTGTGCACTACCACAGCTGGCTTATTTTTTAATCTTTAACTTCTTTGTTGTTTTTCTTTAATAGCATATATCTTCTTCTTGTATTTAAACTTTTCTGCCTAATTGGTTTGGTCTATTCATAAGAATGAATAGTTTAACTCACAAGAATGAATGGTTTAATTCATAAGAATTAAAAATAAATACTTAAAAATAAATAAATTAAAGGAAAAGAGAAATTACTCGCTAAGTTTGTTGCCAAGTTCTTGAAGAGCTTGTTCTTGTTCATGATATATTTTTTTCAACTGCTGATTTTCATCCTGAAGATTAAGGAACTCCTTGAAAACAATAAAAGATAGAAAATGCAGTTTAAAAGAAAGAAACAAACCACAACATACATATCCTATTAATTAGGAATAAATCAATATCCTTAAGATTTTTATAAGAAACATGACTACATGCCCAAAGCCTTTTCCTACCTGCTGTATGTTTTGGTGTGTAGACAGGGTTTCCCTGTGCAGTTCAGGCTGGCCTTGAACTCTCTGTGGCCCAGGCTGGCCTCTACTTTGGGACAGTCCTGACTTGGCTTCCCAAGTCTGGGATGAAGGGGGTGTGCACCACTGTGCCCAACCTTATTTCTTTTCATCCCTGCTGTTTTAACTATGTTCTGTTCATTTAATCTCCTGACTATATTCTACTCTTTTAGATGAGTATTGTGTACTGTTTCCTTCTATAAATGTGTTATATAATTATCTTTTTAAGTAAGTTAACATTTGTTCGTGTAACATTTCAAGTTGTCCCACTCTTTACTTTTTTAAGACTGACGATTTGTTGGGTCTCGTTTCTGAGATGAGACAGGGCGTCCTTCTCCTTTTGAAGGTCCTCCTGCAGCGCTTGCCTCCACTCCTTCTCGATCTTCAGGTCGGTTTCCAGCTGCGCCCTGCAATGACAGCAACACAGCGCTTAGCACTACCCCTCCTGGGCGACTTCTGCAGGAGCTGCTGGCGGAGTGCTTTTGGCAGTTGCAGTCGGCAGCATAGGACCTTCACCAAGAGCCCCCGACTAGACAGTCACCTCTGCCTTTCCCTCCTGGCCCCTGACCACTGGACCCAGGGGAAGAGCGCGCATCATGTGCTCAAAGCCGCCGCACCCTGGCAGTGGGAGGAAGGGCAGCAGGGCGGCAAATTCAGTGTAGCTCTCCATGCTCTGTGCATTTTTTTTAGACAACTAGTGAAGAATATTCATGACAATTACAGCAACTGCTAATTCATTTAATATCAGTAATAGAAAAATTAATCCCAGTACGAGTGCTAATTTGTAGGTTTGTGTTTGAAGCTGACCGATTACAGGATCCAGCTAAGATCAGGAAACCACTGAGTGAACATCTATGCTGCCTGACGACCCAACCCCTGCTCAGGAAAGCACTGGTGTGTCACTCCAGGGACACGGTCCAGCTGGCAAAACAAAAGTCAAGTGTCACCTTTTCTGTCTGGTTTATTCCTTTGAGGCAGGGTCTTACTATGTGGCCCAGGCTGGCCTCAAACTTACAATCCTGCCTCTATACCGAGGGTAGGGTTACCCGCATGGGCCTAGGGTCCTGCACTGCAGACTGATACCCCATGAAATGTGCCCATTGTTACTGCTTGTCAGTGGGAATAACAAAGCACATATTCTAATAATAAAATCATTTCTAATAATCTATATTTTATATGCAGTATTGAATCTCATTAAGTGAATCAAAATCATAATAGTATTTTAATAATTTTGTTCTTCTTTGTATTACTTATTATTTTTTCATAGCTAGCCATTTCCATCTATAGACACATATTGCTAGTAGAATATATTTTAGGTTTCATTTTATGTCTTGTAGTGCTAGGAATTGATCTCAGGGCTTTTGCACTGAACCAGCCTTTTTTAAAATTTTAAGACAAAGTCTCATCTCAGTAAGTTGCCCAGTGTCTTCTCTCCTGTTGCTGAGAAAAAATACCTGATACCCAGAGTTAAAGGGCAAAAGGTTTATTTAGCTCACAGTTTGTGGGTTTCAGCCCATAATCAGCTGGCTCCAAGGCAGGGTGGCATCACCCAGGAGAAACAGTTCATGTTGGGCAAAGGTAGGAAAAGCAACAAGGGGCCAGGGATTTAGCTCAGTAGCATAAGCGCCTGCCTGGCAAGCACAGGGTCATGAGTTTGATCCCTGGTACCAAAAAAAAGAAAGAAAGAAAAACAACAAGGCACCTTAACAGTGTTTTTCTGTCCCTTTTATTTTATCCAGACTACTCAGGATGGGTAGCACTCACATCCTTAATCCTAGTGTCCTTGAGCCTGATGTTATACTATGAATCAATCCCGGCATCACACACTCTAGATCCAGCCACCTCTGAAAAAGCCCCCTCTAAAAACCAGAAGAGGCTTTGAGGGGATATTTAGATACAAGTCATACCACGCAAGCTGGCCTTGAATTTGTAATCTTCATGCCTCCGCCTCCCAAGTAGTTGAGATTATTGGCACATAACACTGTACGGGCTTAAATTCTACATTTTGTGGTTCAAATCAAGCTAGACATTGCACATGCCTACTGTACCAGCTATTTGGGACGCCAAGACAGGAGGATTATACGTTCACAGCCAGTCTGGGCAATTTAGTGAGACCTTCTCTCAAAATCAAAATAGCTAGGATATAGCTCAATGGTAAAGTGTGTACCTAGTGGGTATGAAGCCCTGGGGTCAATCTCTAGTGCCTTTAAAAACAAATAGTAATCGGGGCTGGGGATTTAGCTCAGCAGCATAAGTGCCTGCCTTGCAAGCAGGCAGTCATGAGTTCAATCCCTGGTGCTGATAAAAAAACGAAAAAGACCAAAAAAAAAAAAAAAAAAAAAAAAAACCAACAACAAATAGTAATCAAAAAGAAAACCCTACCACTTTTCTGGATTCACATCAATATACATATTTAATGGTCCCCATGACTTTTATTAAAAATGGAATCATACTTAAAAACCTATTTGCAAACCTGCTCTTTTAAAACTCAGTGTCATATACTGACATCCTTCCTAGCTCGTGTTACATAGGTCATACAAAATATTAACAGAAGTGTTCTCAGAAAACTGCATGTTCTGTGGTGATATAAACTTGTTGGGTTATAAAGCTTATGAGGACTGGGAATATGGCTCAGTGGTGAAATTCCTGCCTTGTATGCACTAGCCTTGGGTTTGATCCCCAGCACCACCAAAAAAAAAAAAAGCTTATGATAGCTGGGAATGGAGGCACATATCTATAATGCCAGACTCTGGGAAGCTGAGGCAGGAAGATGGCAAATTCAAGGCTGGACAGGGACATCCTGTCTCAAGATCTTAAAAAAAGGCCAGGGATGTACCTCTGCATGCAGGCCCTGAATTCAACTCCCAGCACTACCAAGAAAAAAAACCTTACTATACTCATTACATAAGAGGGGCAGGGGATTTGGCTCAGTGGCACAAGTGCTTGCCTGGCAAGTGTGAAGTCATGAGTTTGACTCTGGTACCAAAAAGAAAGAAAAAAAGAAAAAAACTGAAACACTACCTAATGGCCAGCAGACTACTGTTAATAGTGGGAAGAATAAAAGTCTAGGCAAGACAGCAAGGGAAAGCTGAAAGTGCTCTATAACTAATAAATGGAATAAAAACATAAGTAAACACAAAATCTAATTGTATTTTCTGTAAGTGTGCACACGCTCGGGTTGGAACCCAGGGCCTCTTGCATGCTGGCTAAACGCTCTACCCCTGAGCTACATTCCCAGCTCAGCCTTTGTTTTTGATCTTGGCAGTGGACAGTCTAGGGCCAGGCGTGCGAGAGGGGCGGGCGGGCAGGCGGGCACACTCACAGCTGCCGCTCCTTGCACGCGATCCGCTGCTGCAGGCCGGCCGCCCGGCTCAGGCACTCCTGCACGCACTTCTCGTCCTCGCCTTCCGCCGCCACTTGCTCCCTCTCTGCTTGCTGCAATCTGGTGTAATTCAAATCAACTTTGGGTAAAACTGAGGCTAGAACTAGGGTGTAAAAGGGTGAAGAAGACAAATAAAAGAAAAATGGGGAAATAGAAACATTTCTAAATGAAAACAAAGTTTGGGGGAAAACTCACAAACTCAAATGTGAAAGAGCCACACAACGTCTAGAAATTGTTTGGTGATTTTTTTTCAACACAACATATAATATGCCCAGGGTTACTATCTTTGAATTGGTTTAATTCTTGCTCATGATTAACAGTGCAAAGCAATACAGACTTTACAGTTATCTGGAGTATAGTGAACAGGTATATTAACTGCCTTCTGAAACCGCTGAACAGCGTGATGTGTGTGTGAGGACGTGGAAGCCAGAGCAGCGGCCTCCGGTCACGCCAAAGGTCAGAGCGCCCTTCCTGCTGCAGCGTTCCACGCTTCCTAAATTATGTTGAGGTTCTGTGTATGTCTCTGTGTGTATAGATAGTTTTTAAGATTTAAAAAGAATTTAGTACTATTCAGTATCATTTTCTAAAGGTCATTTTCCTCTCAACATTTAAATATTAAAACTTAGCTAAAAAATGTGATTTTGGGGGCTGGGGATTTAGCTCAACGGCACAAGCATCTGCCTTGCAAGCAGGCGGTCGTGAGTTTGATCTCCGGTACCAATAAAAAAGAAAAAGACAAAAAAAAAAAATGTGATATTCATTTTTTCTGTTTTTATTAGCAAGTCACTGCTTGTCCCAGGGCTAATGCTTTCTGTCTCCCTTGGCCATCAATATTTCTGACATTTAAGTTCAATATTTTGTAAGAAAATACTTCCCAAGATTCAAGAGATGTTAATTCCTTGGAGGGAATTACAAGAGACATTTCTGTTCAGCTATGTGAAAGTCCTGCCTCTTTTTGTCTGCTTTAACTCAGACTCATGAGGCAACCCTCACATATTTCAGGGTATAAATGCTGCTTTCAAGGAAAGGAGATTAACATTTAAGTGATCTCCACGTTTAAATTTAAAATTAAAACATTAAGGCAGTGGGGGTGGACCTAAGCTTCTTCCCTAAGGTCACAGAGAGTAAAATCAAAGTGAGGTAGGCCTTGGAGTTGTGCTATTACAAAGGGGAAAGGCTGGGGCGGAAGGGCCTGAAGCACAGGGTGATGGCCAGTCTGGGTCAGACACCTTTTGAAAACATATTAAAAACATCCATGAGGAAGTTCTTAGGCAGAGCAAGCTAGGGTGGGGCTGGGGGAAACAGCTGTGTCAACACACGTGAAGCCAAAGGATAACTTATTTTTGAACGATTTTTATATTTTCCATCAAAAAGTAGCTGAAAAGATAGAACTGCATTTGGAAACTGGTCCTCCAAATGGTCACTGCTGCCCTCAGCCCTGGGAACAAGGTGTGAGGAACGTGTTTTTCGAAACCCGAGCGCGGCTCGGCCCGTGGCATTGTACTGCCTGGCAGCCGGGAGGGCCTCCTGTGTCAGTTCTGTCTGTCTGATCTCCTGGCAGAGTGTGCATTTCCTTCTAGCCTGCTTAGACGCAAGTGGCTTTCAGAAAGAGATGTCCTTGACCAGCTTGTACTGGTCCTGAGTGTCGCTGCCAGCACACTTCACCAATGACATTGCAATCGTCCTAGTTTGAGTTAACAAATCGCTGTCACTTCATGATGGAATGGACGGAAATCAAAGACAGAAAAAGGTAATAAAGATGTCCAAAATGTAAAAATGGGGACAAAGAAAACAAAAAAGAAAAAAGAAGAAAGAGGATGTCAATAAAAGAATATTCATGTTAATAAAGCATTAATAGTTATGTTTTTCATAAGTAGATTCAAAGAAAGCAATGGTAAGACATATGTTGACATCAACATGACAGGGCAATGGAATACATTACATTTTCCAACAATAAAAGTGAAAAATGCCAATATAAAACAATTTAATTTAAACAACACTGTATCTTGGGTTGGGCTGATGGGCCTGGCTCCAAGAATGCAAACTAAACTGCTTGTTCAGAATTCTTGATTTCAGATACGGAGATGATGAATGGTAAAGGATATGGTAATCAATACACATGGAAATCAGTCAAGGATAATCCCACCATGTATTCTGTCCACTTATAATTTTTCCAGGTTTTTATTTATTTGTTTTACTATAGAATAAACCACAGGAAATTGCTGATATTAGGCCTTTAAAAAAAAAACTACAAGACAGTAACTTCAAACAAACCAGCCTAATATAAAGCAAATTGAAATTCCATGCAACCACCAAAATTCTGCTCAGTTTAACAAAAAAGCATGTCCTAATCTGTGTCTTCCTAATGGTTTCTGTGGCAGGTGTCAGAGTTGACAAAAAAAAAAAAAAAAAAAAAAAGAAGTGGGGAGGGGACAGAAAGAAACTTGTAGTGACAGTGCTGTACCTTTGTTCTAGCTGCTTCATGGCTGTGGTAATTTTATTGGTTTTTTCTTCTAGTCGGGCAATTATTTCATTTTTTTCTTTCAAACCATCTTCAGAACCCTATTTATAAAAAGGAAAAGTTATAGTGGTTCTGATCTTTTTTTTTTTTTTTTTGGTACCGGGGGATCGAACTCATGACCTCATGCTTGCCAGGCAGGCGCTTATGCCGCTGAGCTAAATCCCTGGCCCTGAGTGGTTCTGATCTTTAAACTTGAATGTTCACAAGTCTTTTGCAATGAGATTGTTACTTTGAAATGAGCAAAATTAATTTGTACATTAAAATAACTATGATATAGTGGTACTAGTTTTCATTTCAAAAATAGTGAATAAAAAAGACTTCATTGTTTTTGGAAGCCAAGATGAAATAATGCAAAATATGTCATTTAAAATTAATTTAAGTTTTTTTTTTCTTTATCAGTATCGGGGATTGAACTCATGACCATGCACTTGCCAGGCAGGTGCTTATGCGGCTGAGCTAAATCCCTAGCCCTAAAAATGTTTTCTAAAAATAAAACTTAATTAACTTGTAAAGGTTGGCTGGGTGATTTAGCTCAGCCGCATAAGCACCTGCCTGGCAAGTGCAAGGTCCTGAGTTCAATCCCCAGTACCACACACACACACACACAAAAAAAAAATTCTAAAAAAAAAAACTTGTAAAGGTCACTGGAACAAGTCTATTTTACAGTAATGTCATTCTGTTAGAAAATGCACAATGATGGGGTAAGGATATAACTCAGTGGCACCTGCCTGTGAGGTCATGAGTTCAATTGCTGGTACAAAAAAAAAAAAAAAAATCACAATGATAATACAAAAGCATTTTGGGCCAGGGATATATCTCAGTGACACAAGTGCCTGCCTGGCAAGTGCAAGGTCCTGAGTTCAGTTCCTGATACCAGAAAAGAAAAGCATTTCAATTTAAATTACTACTTTCAAAGGACTAATTGTATAACGCAGTTCATCAAAAGGCACTGTGTATTTAGACTGAGAGTCTTCCCAAAGCAATCTTTATATTTTCAGCTTTTTAGCATTAAGAAACAAGTTCAGGCCTGGGATGTAGCTTGGTGTCAGAATGTACATTTAGTATATGCTCTAAGTATAATTTTTTTTTGATCGGTACCAGGGATCGAACTCACAACTCCCTGCTTGCAAGGTAGGCGCTTACGCTGCTGAGCTAAATCCCTAGGACCTCCAAATATAATTTAAAAATAAATAAATAAAGCACAACACTAAAAATAAATTTAAAAGTACAACAAATTCCAATAGAGAGTTTTGTTTGGACTTTGATGTGTCTATTATTTTTTTTGGCAGTGCTGATGATCCAGCCTGGGACCCCATCCATGCTAAGCAATCTACCACTGAGCTATACCCCCAGCCCACACCGCATCTCTTATGCTTTTATCTATGAAAAAACAAAGGCAACAGACACTGGCTTTTATAACCAACATACACAATTAGAATGGCATAAAAACCAAACACTTTCTGCAATTTTCAATGTATATAAAATGAAATCAGGATTGGGGTGTAATTCAGTGGAAATGCATTTGCTTAGTATGCATTTGGCCCTGTGTTTGATTCATAGCAATGTGTGGACAGGGTTGGGGGGTAGGATTTAGAGCCTGGCCAGGTGGTGTATTCCTGTAATCCCAGAATTTGGGAGACTGAGGCAGGAGGATCGCCATGGGCTCGAGGTCAGCCTGAGCTACTTAGTGAATTTAAGGCCAGCCTGAAGTCCAGAGCAAGAACCTGCTGCAAAAGGAAAAGAAATTTAGGAACATTATTTACCTGCAGCTTTTGATACATCTCTATGTTGATGGCTTTGACTTCCTCTAGCTGTTGGCGAAGGCCTATCAGCGTGTCTTGCTTCTCATGGATATCTTTCTCCAGAAGTTTCATGGCAAGTTCAATCTCATGTTTCATACTCACTTGTACCGAAAGCTCATTCTCTACATCCTGCAATTTCAACAAATCTTCAATTCCTGTGCCACTCAGGGCGTCAAAATCAGATGCAAGACAGTTAATGAGAGGACAGATTTTCCACTCAAGCACTCTTTTTAAGTCTATTAATGATAACCAACCAGGCCTATCACATAATTTTATATATTTCCTTTTTTTTTTTTTTGGTACTGGGAATCAAACTCATGACCTTGCACTTAGCAGACAAGTGTTTGAGCTGCTGAGCTATATCCCCAGCCCAATTTTATATCTTTTCAAGTGTCATTTTTGCTAAAAATAAAGCAGTTTTAGACTTTTTATTAATCACCATTATTCTAATAGTTCAAGAAGTATTTTTATGCCTCATATATTTAGTACTAATATTATTTAAGGAAAAGAAAATGAAGCGGCATATATAAGACCAAAAGTAATTCACAACTATTTTCTTAAATAATTTTTATCAAGCCAGGTATGGTGGCACATGCCTGTAATCCCAGCACTCAGGAGACTGAAGCAGCAGGATTGTTGCAAGTTCAAGATAAACTTGGCTTACAAAGTGAGCTCAAGGCCAGCCAGAACTGCATAGTGAGACCCTGTCTCAAAAAAAAAAGACAAAAAAAAATTTTTATAGGATTGTTTCCTAATGTTAAAACAAAAGGTATTTCCATTATTAAGCTGCTCACTTACATTATCCTGTATATTTCATAATTTCTAAGTCTTAAAAAATAAATAAACGGGGCTGGGGATTTAACTCAGCGGCATAAGTGCCTGCCTTGCAAGCAGGCAGTCGTGAGTTCGATCCCTGGTACCGATAAAAAGGAAAAAGACCAAAAAAAAAAAAAAAACAACAAAAAAAAGTAAACAGGGCTGGGGATTTAGCTCAGCAGCATAAATGCCTGCCTTGCAAGTGCAAGGTCATGAGTTCGATTCCTAGCACTGATAAAAAAAAAAAAGTAAAATTTAAATGTGGTTTTACTAACAATATAATTTTAAAATTTTGTAGCTAATTCACTTTATCCTCTTCTGTGTTTCTGTAATGCTGCTCACAACCATAGATTTTTTTTTTCTTTTTGGTCTTTTTGAGACAGGGTTTTGCTACGCAGTTCAGGCTGGCCTTGAGCTCACTTTGTAGCCAGGCTGCCCTCAAACTCCAGTGATCCTCCTGCCTCAGTCTCTACAGTGCTAGATGTGTGGGGGGCTTTGTTTTACAACCATAGATTGTAATTCAGTTTCTTCTTCTTTTCTTTTTTTTTTTTGAGACAGAGTCTCACTACGCAGTCCAGGCCAGCCTTGAACTCACTGTGTGGCCCAGTCTGGCCTCAGACTCATGTAATCCTCTTGCCTCAGCCTCCTCCTACGTGTGGGGAATTCTTGTTCATGCCGCCAGGCCTCCACACCAGGTTCCCAACTCACAGTTTCAAAAACACGCATAGGGTGTGAGCTCAGGGGCTGTGAGAACATGCAGGAAGTTTGCTGTCCCACAGTTAAAAAGCTTAGGCTGAAAGCGATCTGCGGAGTTCCGCTAAAGCAGCTCTAGAGCAGCGACCTGCCGTAACTGGGCCTCATCGCGCAGCTGCCGCCGGGCGTCGTTGTACATTTCATCCAGCCCCTGCCGCGAATGCTTGTAGGTCTGCAGCTCAGTTTCCACATCCACTTTGGTGACCTAGAAAGAAAACACCCAGGGCCGGGGACACAGCTCAGCGGCAAGATGCCTGCCTGGCAAGCACAAGGTCCTGAGTTTGAGTCCCAGGACCAAAAGAAAACATTCGACATTTTACTTCATAGTCACTCGTACTATTAACGCAGCACAGAAGTCTGCAGAAGCCCCTGTCCCGGGCCAGTCCGTCTCACGCTACTCACACTCACCTCTAGGTGCTGCTGTGTCTTCCTTAAAATCAAGTTATTTTCACTTCGTAATTGATGATTTTCTTCTTGGAGCTTAATTATGTTATTCTTTGCTATTGCTAACTAAAAATTATGAAATGGAGAAGAAAAAATGAAACATTTTTAATTATACTTGCTTTACTCATTATGCTTATGATTATAAACAACAAAAGATAAAATACTCCAACTAGCACATTGTCCTTTATATTGATAGAAACTTTCATAATACAAATGGGCTCTTTTATTTTGGATTTCCTTTGTACATTTCTATTTACTTTTGACCTGCTCCGTTTCCAACCTCCTTAGGTAACCTGGTGGTCCCCCGCTCCTGGGAGGTCACCATACTGATGCCGAACTTAGAGCAGACACTGGATGGGCATAGCACACTGCAGCACAGAACTCCTGGACCATTCTCACAGGGTTAAACATGAGTGAGGAGGTGGTCTGGCACAAGGCCTAGGATAAAAAGAGGGATACTAGGAGCGGTGCATGATGGTACGCACCTGCAATATCACTCAGGAGGCTGAGGCAGGAGGATCAGCATGAATATGAGGCCAGCCTGGGCTCCATAGTGAGTTCAAGGCCGACCTGAACTACAGAGTGAGACCTTGTCTCAAAAAATCAGAATAAAGGGGACTTGCAATTAATAATTCCAAACCCCAGCTTACTGGGCTAGCACTTAACACGTCCCCACTGGCTTGAACCACGGATGGGACACATGTGACTATACAAGCCACCTCTTTGGACAGTCATGCATGCACAGCCCTGTTGAGATCATATTAAAAACTCTCAGTGCAGCTAAGGTCAAAAAGAGGCCCTGATTAGTAAGCAGCTTTATACCAGTCTCAACCAAGAGTCTGACCATCAAAATAAAGATGCATTCCTAACTGCATTCATGCGAATTACCATGTGCTGCTTCCGGGTTTGGAAATATCAGGTCAATTCAAAAAGAAAAATTTTAATTAACATGGGAGATAGGACTCGCTGCACTAAATAATAGACTCCTTCCTCTGGCCTTATTCTGCAGATTTGAAGCAGTAAGTCTTTGATTTGACACTTTTTTACTTATCTTTAAAAGCTACAAATAGTATTAAAGAGAGAGTCAAGATAAAATTTGTTTTCTTTGTGGTACTGAGGATTGAACCAAGGGCGTTTGCAGTAAGGCTATATCCCCATCCTTTTTTTGATTTTTTAATTTTGAGACAGGGAATCTTTAGTCACTAAGTTGCTCAGGTTGTACTCAAATTTGAAATCCTTCTGCCTCAGCCTCCCAGAGTGCTGATATGCAGATGTGTTACCACCCCAGCCACTGGTTCTTCTCTAAATGAGCAGTGGGGCCACTGGATGGTGACTTCTGCAATGTGGGAAGCCAAAGCAGATGGGAGGAGTTTCACATGTAGGAGGAAAAAGGTGAAGAACGGGTGGTTGTAATTATACAGTGGTGCTTGTGAGGAAAGTAATGTGACTAGTGGAACAACAAGAACAGAATCATGTTAACAAGGATTCTAACTTTTGGGTCAGTCCACTATCTAGTAAAATCTGGGTGACTACCCAGATTTTAAAAGAAGAATCACAGCATATGTATACAAGACTTTGTGTGAGTTTCCACTCTGGGGACTTGTTTCTAGAATTGTCTCAAATAACAGTATCTCACAGCGAGTGACACAGCGAGGATTGGCCTAGGAATATATAGTTTCTCTAGATCTTACAATCATCAGTTACAAGCATTTCACTGTGGGGGGGGGGTCGAGGCCACACTTACGAATTCATTCTTTTTTTTTTTTTTTTTTTTTTTTTGTCTTTTTCGTTTTTACCGGTACCAGGGATCGAACTCACGACTGCCTGCTTGCAAGGCAGGCACTTATGCCGCTGAGCTAAATCCCCAGCCCCACGAATTCATTCTTAACACGGAAAAGGATGACAACCAGTACATCCATGAAAAACAAGAGGGTGACGTTACCTCTTCAATCAGCTTAGTGTTTGACTTTTCTAATGAGTCAACTCTTGAATGGAGGCTGCTGACTGTGCTGCTGAAATTAACAAAGAGAAACTCATTCAGAACCCTGCCTTCTGGCAAAAGCAAGCCAAGTGCGCCATCCCGGACTCAGGTGAGTGGCATGCAGCACCTGCCCTCCAGAGGTCCTGGCTGTGGGAAACTTTATTAACCCGCATAATCTGATTTGGCCAGGAATCACAGCACACTGCAGGAAAAGAATCAGAATTTCTATTAAAACTCCACTTGGTGCTGCTCATTACTTATTGTCCTTTTGGGATCCTTCTTAATATCTGAGAAGAGAAATTCCATGCAAAGGTCGGGGATTTAGCTCAGTGGTGTAAGCGTCTGCTTGGCAAGCGCAAGGTTGTGAGTTTGATCCCCAGTACCAAAAAAAAAAAAAAAGAAAAAGAAATTCCATGATGCAAAGATTACTGAATATTGTCAATATTAGTAGTATTATTATTTTTTTTTTGTCCTGGGGATTGAATTCACGACCTCACGCTTGCCAGGCAGGCGCTTATGCCACTGAGCCAAAACCCTGGCTGTCAAAATTAAATTTTCAATTATTTTTAAAAGGATGAGCTTTAAATATATACTCTGTCACTGTGGCTCTTAGATAAGAATATAAACAATGGTCTTCAGTCTAAATCACAATCTGTTTCCCTATTTTCATAACTTAGAAACTTTCAAAGCTATTTGTAGTTTTAGAAATATGAACTAAACATCTATCATTGATTGGATACAGTTCAGTTAGACATCCTGAGCCCCAAAGATATAGTCAAATAACATCATATAAATACATTTAATTACTGATTAACATCAAATAAATACATTTGATTACTTGTAACTTTTTTTTTTTAATCGGTACCGGGGATTGAACTCATGACCACATGCTTGCAAGGCAGGCGCTTATGCCACTGAGCTAAATATCTAGTCCCAATATATTTGATTACTGATTAACATCATATAAATACATTTGATTATTTTTACTTATATTAACCAAAGCGGACATTATTATTACTATTTTCTGCCTTTTTGAGACAAGGCCTCCCTATGTAATCCAGGCTGGCTATGAACTCATTATGTAGCCCAGGCTAGCCTCAAATTCATGGTGATCTTCCTGCCTCAGCCTCCCAAGTGCTGGGATTACAGCTATGCATCACTACACCTGGTAAAAACAAGCATTATACATGTTGGTTAGTCGATTGTCCAAGGCCTTCTTACACTACCTTAAAACCTTTCCTCAATAAAATGCAATATGCTTCATCACAGCATTATCTATAACAGAACAAATTTTATACTAGCCTCAGAAAAGTTATTGGTATTTTAGGTTGGTGAAATAAAAAGTTTTCCCGGGCTGGGATTTAGCTCAGCAGCATAAGCGCCTGCCTTGCAAGCAGGCAGTCGTCAGTTCGATCCCCGGTACCAATAAAAAAGAAAAAAAAAAAAAGAGTTTTCCCTTTCATATTACATCATTTTGAAAAATACCAACACTCTTACATCAACAACTTGATTTACTCCACAAACAGCTCCAAAGTGTCCCAGTGGTGACATGGACAAGAACAGGACCGAGAGAAGAAAAAGCAAGGTCACGGCCCAGCTCTCTACTTCCTGACTGTGTCACTGGGACAGCTGTAAAGCCTTTCTGAGCTTCAGTTTCCTTTCCATAAAACTGGACGACAGCATTTGTCCTGTTCTCACATGAAAACCAATACCACAATGGCCAGAAATCCACTCTGAAACCTTGACAGTGTTTTTCTTTGAGTAAGGGATCACAGGTGGGTTCTAGTTTTTCCTTTTTTTTTTGAGTTCCATTTTTTCCTATCTTTTTATACTTTTGAAATATTCTCAATGTATACAACTACTCTCTACTAGACAATTAAAAAGTTTTAAAATAAATGAAAAAGACAAAAAAAAATAATGTATACAAACTAAAACATTGAGCTGGGGATATACTCAGCAGCATAAGTACCTGCTTGGCAAGCACAAAGTCTTGAGTCCTGAGTTTTATTTTCAATACAAAAAAAAAAAAAAAGAACAAGTAAAACACTGGTATTGCTCAGGACTAATATACAAGACTGAAAAGAATGCGAACAAGAATGCTATCTTGGGGCTGGCGGTTTAGCTCAGCAGTGCAAGTGCCTGCCTGGCAAGCGCGTAACGAGTTCAATCCCCGGTAAAAACAAAAACAAAAACCCGTGCTCTTGAACTAAACAGAATGGACCTGAACACCACTAAGTGAAAATAGCAATTCAGAGAAGAGTGAGAAAGTGGGTGACCTTATATATAAACTACAGGGCACAGGGCAGACGTAAGAATCAGCACACTTATTACTGCTTATTGTCACATGTGACCGCTGGAGGAACACGAACACTAATGCGTCACGTCAGGGCCCCAATGGATGGACAGAGGTCAGACCAAAGGAGCAGACTTTCCAGGTGTTTTCTGTGTGTTTTAAGTGTGAACTGAATGAAGCTATTATGAGTTCCCAAAGAATGCAAATTTAAAACTACTACACAAACACAAGGTTGCATTCAGAAATACAACTTCAGAAACATAAATTATAAAATATACATGCATTTCCCATGATTTCTATGATTTAAAAAAAGCCACTAAGAAAGTTATTCCTGGCTGGTCCGAGTGCAGTGGTGTTTACAACTAATTGATCACAACCAGTTACAGATTTCTTTGTTCCTTCTCCACTCCCACTGCTTCACTTGACTAGCCTTAAAAAATAAAAATTTTAAAAAAAGAAAGTTATTCCTATTTTTATAACTTGGGTTTCTTTTTGTAAAATGGGAAAAGGTTTACTTGTGTTTTCCAATTGCAACACAACGTTCGAGTAGAACTCAGGAAACTACAGAGCATAAAATAAAAATTATTACTAATTATTCATAACCTCAACACCCAGGGGAAGCCACTTTCACTAGCTCCTACGTTTAACTCATACAAGCAGCCTGTTTCTAAATACAGAGCAGCAGTACAGCAGTTGTGAGCCGCCCGATCCACCTGGCACCCAAGCCCTGGCCAGTCTGAATTGCAAAGTAAATCACGCATAAAATACACAGTGGGTTCTGAAGAAAGCGCCCCAAAGCAAAATACCTTAATAATTTTATATTGATGTTGAAATAGTAGAGTACACTGAGTCAACTAAATCACTAATTTAAAAATGCTGATGTAGTTAGCAACACTAAATTGTCCTGTCCTGCAGTTTCCATCAGCGCAGCCTGCGCTCCTCAGCCTCAGTGAGCTGGGAGGCTCCCTGGGGTGGCTGGGAGGAGGACGAACCCCTACCCCAACAGGGACGGCTGCATCTACACACACTGCCCTTAGAGGCCAGAAAAACGAGACTCCGAACCACCCGAATAGTATGAACGTCGCCTTTCCAGGCTTTTTTTCTTTTCTTTTTTTTTTTTTTTTTTTGTCTTTTTTTTCATTTTTATCAGTACCGGGGATTGAACTCAGGACTGCCTGCTTGCAAGGCAGGCGCTTATGCCGCTGAGCTAAATCCTCAGCCCCCCAGGCTTTTTTTTCAAGGGTACAGAGACATGTTTATAATTCTATCTGAATTTAATAAAAGTTCTATTTAAAATCAGATTCTCATTTTCTGCTGAAAACACATTCTTTCCAGTAATTATGTATGTTCTTAATTTGTTTTCTTCCCTCAAACCTTTCTCTTGGAGGAAAGGAATAGGGTTAAGCTGAAAACAAAGTAAAAGCAGCCTAAGACAATATAAATAGATAACTGTGTGAAGTACCCACAATACTTACTTGAGTTGTCTATTTAATTCTTCAACGTAATTCTTTTGGTCCAAAATGGCAGCAATCTGGACATTCCTGAGGGAGACACAGCAGGTTTGTGACAGTTGGACAGGTGAAAAAAATACCTAAATCATCTAAAACAAAATCCAGAAGTAGTTTTTCCTTTGGTGATATGAGGGATCAAACCCGGGGCCTTTACTCTGAGCTTTATGCTCTGCCTTTTTTGTTTTTTAATCTTTTTTGAGACAGGATTTCACTACACATTTCAGGCTGGCCTTGAACCCACTTTGTAGTCTAGGCTGGCTTTGAACTCACAGTGATCCTCCTGCCTCAGCCTCCCAAGTATTTATCCTCAGCCCTTTTAAAATCCCAAATCCTCAGGCCAGGGATTTAGTTCAATGGCATAAGCATCTGTCTGGCAAGTGCAAAGTCATGAGTTCAACCCCTGATACAAAAAAAAAAAAAAAATTTCCTTGCTGATTCAACCAGACTGGGCTTAAATTTGTCATCCTTTTGCCACAGCCTCCAGAGCACTGGAATTACAGGTGTGGATCACCACACCAGGCTAAAAGTCAAAAACCCTGTAATCATGTAGCAGTAAGCTAGGTACTAAGTAACTATTACCTCTGTTGAGTAAATTGCTTACTAATACTAGGCTTCACCTATCAGTATATTTTAAATACAGTAACTAGCATTAACACAAAACACAGCTATTAACTAGGCCTTGGCAAACACAGGTATGACTGAAAGTCCTACTTCCTATTATAGTCTCCATTTTTAATTGCTTTCTCTCTATTTGTTTTGTAAAACTTTTAAAGAAATGGAATGAAAATGGAAATGGAACATAGCGGGAATCTCAGGACACACAGACACACTGTAAGTGAAAGATGTCAAATCACTCTGTAAAGGGCTACATTAAAATATAGCGTGAGAAAGGACTAAGGAAACCCTTACCTTTCTTTATTTCCAATATCTTCTTCACTCTTCAGATACATGGAAAAATCAATCACTCCAACCTGAAGTTAACAAAGTCATTTTTATTTAAAGGGAAAAATAACCTCACTAACACCCCACTGAGTCTCACTCTTTATCCTCCTTTAGTGTGTAACAGACTGTCTGCAGCTTAGAGCGACCTGCAGCACAGAAGCTGCAACCTCTTCGTGTGGTACCAACCACGCTCACTTACTTGGGAATCTAAATCTTCTCCCTTTACGCACAGATTGGCATCTATCACGTTCAGGCCAACCAGCAGCCCGACAATCACAGCTCCTTCCTCCTCCATCATCAGTGCATGATACTCATAGAATTCACTGCGAAATCAGAAGAACAAAAACCTGAAATCACAAGATTACTTCTTTTTTTTTCTTTTTTGGTATTTTTACCGGTACCAGAGATCGAACTCAAGACCACAGGCTTGCAAGGCAGGCGCCTATTCCACTGAGCTAAATCCCCAGCCCCCACAAGATTACTTCTAAAACTAAGTTTAATAGTCTTAGTGTTTTATGTTATGGACATGGAAATAATCCAACTTGAGTATCTTTGTTTTATTTTCATGTTTTTATTTTTTGCAGTGTTGGGGACTAAAGCCAGGGCCTCATGCTGCCAACCGTATCCCTGGATGTCAGTTTGATTTTACATTGGCCTTTCTTCATGCTAACTTTTCAAATTTAAATGAGGATATAGAAAAGAGATTGAAGCAGATAAATGAAGAAGAATTTTTGGTCAGACAGGGTGATGCATGCCAACAGTTCCAGCACTTGGGAGGCTGAAACTGCTGGGAATTTGAGGCCAGCATGGGCTACATAACAAAAAAACTAAAAATGAAAGAAAGAAAGAAAGAAAGAAAGAAAGAAAGAAAGAAAGAAAGAAAGAAAAAATTTTTGAGCAAGAAGAGAAGCAAAGAGAGATTAAAAGAGAGAGAGATAAGTAGGGTGGGGCGGGGAATGCCGGTAATCTCTGTTGCTCAGGAAGCTGAGGTAGGATTGTTGAGTTTGTTGCTAGCCTGGGTGTATAATGAGAACATGTCTCTAAAATAATGGCAGGAGGAACGGAGATACAGCTCATGCCTGGCAAGCACAAGGTCATGAATTCAATTCCTTGTAACAACAACAAAAAAACTACTAATAATAATGCCAGATGTGGTGGCACATACTCCAGTACCCAGCACTCAGGAGACTGACACAGGATGATTGCTGCAAATTCAAAATCAGTCTGGGCTACATAATGAGACTCTGACAAGGTCCTGAGTTCAATCCTCAGCACCAAAAAAAAAAAAGGAAAGAAAGAAAAAGAGATAATGCTGACACCTAAAACTAGGACTTGTCAATATGTACTCAGAGAAAGTTATCACTGTCATATGCTATCCTAAATAAGAGCCCAGGATATTATTTCATCTGTTCAGTGAAGCTTGAGACCTCTGATGAACTGCAGTGCTTGAAGCTCATTCTCATCTCACAGTGGGAGATCCGCGGACATGAGCATCACGGCCTGAGTTCCCCACACCACCCCAGCCCACAGCTACAGCTCTGTGCTCAGCCTAACGTGGCCTGCAGCTCACACTGAACTGGGCCCCGGGCAGCCTCAGCAGAGTAGAGATGGAAGGAGCCCGCTGCTTTAAACCCCCAATCTCCAATGCAAATCTTTTTTTTTCAGTCGGTACTGGGGATTGAACTCACTGAGCACTTGCAAGACAGGCACTTATGCTGCTGAGCTAAGTCCCCAGTCCTCCAATGCGAGTCTTTATCCACATACTAAACTGCCATTTATAAGCCCGAAAGCCAGAGACATGACATACAACATCCCCTTGCAGGCTGATGAAAACTGACGGGATTCTTATCTTGGGCTCCTTCCAGACCCATGTTAGATCCTATCGGGTTTTTCTCTCACAATTTGCTCTTCCTTTTGCTTTGTGCCACCTTTTTTTTTTTTTTTTTTTTTTTTTTTTTGGTGCCGGGGTTTGAACTCACGACCTCACATCTGCCAAGTAGACACTTACACTGCTGAGCTAAACCCCAGCCCTGTGCCACCTTATTGTATCTTACACATTTACATTTTACATCTAACCCTTTGCACAAATAGGGTTTAATAAAATAAAGTATAGAGATGAGCGTGGCCGTGGGCACTGACCTCAGGAGCTCTCTCTGAATAATCAGGCAGCGCAGGTAGTCAGCCATCTTCTTTTGCATGAGGGCTAACCGCAGCCAAGCCCTCGCCCGGCCCAGCGGCGTCCTAGGAAGAAGAAGCCACCGGTCAGAACACAGCCTTCCGCTGGGTGAGTCACGGGCTGCCTGTGCTAGCTTTGCTGAGCCACACATTAACAAAGGAAAGAAGAATTTTATCATGGTTTTGTTCTTCCTGTTAATAAATTTAAGCTGGCTTTTTGAGCAACCCCTGGGAGGTAGGCAAATCTGCTCCAGTAGAACATCTAAGTAACATTTTGATCATTTCAGAAAAAATAATTCTTTCTCAGCAGCTAGAAGGCAGAGACAGGAGAACTGCTGTGAGTTCAAGGCCAGCCTGAACTACACAGCAAGACCTTGACTTAAAAAAACAAAACAAAAGCTACTTTATACAGGAACAGTAAATAGGCTTTTGGGGGAAGGATGAGCGACTAACAGGATGACTTACTTAAGACCCGGTAAATCCCGGACACTGGCTCCTATTTCCTCTGCTTCTGGGTACAACTTTTCCACCAGCTCTAAAGGGCCCCAGATGGTTTTGTTATAACTCAAAAATGACTTTCTTACTGGAAAAAAGAAAAAAGCAATAAATGCACACAGTTCAACAGAAACAACTGTAGAAACTTTACCTTTAAAATGTAATCTCAACATTTCTAACACAGTGTTACCCAGAGACCTTCCGCCACTGCACGGCCCTGGGCATCAGTGGCCTCTTTGGTCAAGACCCTGGAGCCCATACTGCCTTTTGCCATGTCAGAAAAACCTACTTCAGCCATTCCTCCACATCAGAAACATGCAGGAAGGTAATCAAAAACAGCCAAGCCGGAAAAAAAAAAGGGGGGTGTGCTCAGTGAGATAAGCGCCTGCCTGGCAAGCACAAGGTCATGAGTTTAATCTCCAGTACCACACACAAAAAAAAAACAAACAGCCAAGTGCTGCAACCTCAGCACTCCAGTGGCTGAGGTAGGAGGATTGCTGTGAGTTCAAGGCCAGCTGGGCTCCATAAGTGAGTTTAAAGCCAGCCTACACTACATAGTGAGACACTGTCTTAAAAAAAAAAAAAAAAAAAACACTAATCATGCAATTGCTACGTGCTTCTTTCGCAGCCCTGACCAGTGCCCTGCAGAGACTGTATCTGTCTAATCTAAGGTGCCACCTGGGACAGCCCAGGACTGGCAATGGAGCAAGTCCCAGCACAATGAAGATCTATAATGTCAGCAAGATGGGCTGAGGACCTTGAGGAGGGGCTTGCTACAGTTTGTTAAATTTAATAAATTTTGAAAAAGAATTTAACTCTTTTGGTCATCATTCAACAAAGTCCAATTCAACAGGCTTGGGGCAAGTAAAACTCATTTATTGCTATTTTTTTAAATCAAAGTTTAATATAAACAAATAAAGTTTTTAGAAAAAAAATTAGAATTCAAGAAGGCCTGATGGGACCGTGGCTTCCTAATGTGCCGAGAAATGGATCACAATGCTGCCACTGGCCCCAGCAGCTACAAGTGGGCAGGACAGCAGAGAGAGATGTGGGCTGGTATCAGGTGCACACCTGGTTTTGGTACCCAAAAAGAGTAGTGCACTATTACTCACATAATTTTTTTTTGTCTTTGAGACAGGGTCTCACTATGCAGTTCAGGCTGGCCTTGAGCCCACTTTGTAGTACACTGGTCTCAAACTCACAATGATCCTCCTGCCTTAGCCTCTCAAGTGTTAGGATTACAAGCGTGCACCACCATGTCCGGCTACTTACATAATTTTAAGAAATTATTTTGTCTTAACATTAAAAAAAAGAAGCCTCCAGTCAGGTGGGAAACACAAAAAGCCGCACTGAGCTCCCAGCTCCTCTCTCAGAACTAGAAAACTTGCTGGGACCTCTGGAAACCAGGCAGGGCTCTCAGGGTCAGCTCCCAGTCCCTCCCCGGCACGTGGTCCCTGTGGGAGGCCGCTACATGCATGGGAACAGCCATGCACTAGGCAGGGCCCACAATGCGCCCAGAGCCACCAACCATGTGGGGCGAGCTCGCATCACGTGCATAAGGGACATGGAGGCAGCCGTGCATAAGGGACATGGAGGCAGCCTTGGGCACCCTCAACAGCGGCAGGGAGCAGGGAGCTCTGGGACACAAGAAAGCGACACCCATGGCCACCTATCTGTTCAGACTGGGCTTTTATCAGGAACTGGTCGCCAAGGACTTCTCATGCCTGTTCTGGGCCACAGTGGAGCAGGTTTTACTTTTGTGTTGTATCTAAGAAATCACTGCAGATCACAAAGATTTTCTCCTACATTCTACAGTTAGATCTAGATTTTTTTTAGAAAGGGTTATGTTACTCAGGCTTGCTCTGAACTCCTGGACTCAATAGTTTTATCTGTCTGCATCATGAGTAGTTAGGGCCACAGGCATGAGAGCTACCACAGGTACCATTTATTTTGAGTCAATTTTTATATCCTGTTCTTAGTACTGAATATATATGACTTTTTAATTGTTGGCATATATTTGGAATACATAATTACATTTCTCTTTTGGAATTGTTGCAATACCATATGCAATACCATTATTTTGATCATCTTGTACTAAGTATATATTAAAGCTTCAGTTTTTTGCATATGGTTATCCAAAATAAATAAAAAAGAAAGAAACCAGTGCATTAATAACATCACATAGGATTTCTTAAGCTTGGGTAACAAGGCTTCATTCTTGTTTTGAAGTTCACTTTATTAAAAAAAAAAAGTCACAGGGTCTCTCTCTGTAATTCAGGTCAGCCTTGAACTTGAGGCAATCCTCCTGCTTCAGCCTCCCAAGTGCTTGGATTACAGGCATGCGCTATCACGCCTGGCTTCTTCTTTTGGTTTTTATATCTACCCAACTTTCCTGTTCAGTAGTCAGAACTTCTAAGCCTTCCTAACTCAGCCATGCTAATATGTCAACAACAGCCACACTTCTGCTTTCTGAGTCACAGCAGCATATGCAGTTCTCTCTATGAACTAGAGACCACAAGTGTCAGTAGAGCTACTACAAGTTAAATATACACTGAATATTTATAAATTAAATACATAACTGAGGACACAGGTCAGTGGTTTTGATTCCATTACTGAAAAAACAATATAAAACAAACATTTTACATGAAACAATAATTTCTTTTCAGTGATCATTTACATTTCTACAATATCTCAATGGAGAAGACACTTTCTCTAGGAATGTTCTCATGCACTGAAGTAGTTTCCACTATAATATTATTGTCTCAATGCATTTGTTCAACAGGGCTTAAACTATTAATACGAATTGATATCAGAATTACTAAGCTTAAAATTTTAAATAACTCTAAGTATCCTAGAAAATAGAAACTAATTCAGGACACACACTGCAAAAACTTATTTTTGAAAAAATTAAATATATATTTTACAAGCTGGACAAGGTAGCAAATGCCTTAATCCTAGCACTCAAAAGGCTGAAACAGGAGGATCACGAGTTTGAGACCAGCCTGGACCTCATAGGGAGATCAAAGCCAACCTAAACCACATAGTCAAACCTTATCTCAAAGAACAAAACAAAAACAAACAAACAAAAATACATAAAATGCAACACAGACATCTATGCATATTTTGAAGATCATCCATATAAAAACATAAAATGGTAATTTTTCTTTCAAAATCAACCCACACAATATTTTCAAATGCAAAATAACAGAAATAAGCCAAGATGGTGGCACACACCTATGATTCCAGCACTCAGGAGGCTAACGCAGGAGGATTGCCAAGAGTTCGAGGCCAGCCTAAGTACATAGCAAGACCTTATCTCAAAAACAAAGCCAAGGGGCTGGGGATATAGTTCAGCAGCACAGTGCCTGCCAGGGAAGCACAAGGTCCTGAGTTTAATTCCTGGGCTGCCCCCCACAAAATCCAAAAATTGGATAACTATGACCTCAAAAAATACATGTTTAAGGGGTGGGGATATAGCTCAGTGGCACAAGCACCTGCTTGGCAAGCATGAGGCCATGAGTTCAATTTCCAGTACCAAAAAAAAAGAAGAGCAAGTAAAAAATGTATGTTCAACAATATCTGAGATAGGCTGGGGATATAGCTCAGTGGCAACTGTGAGGTCCTGAGTTCAATTCCTAATACAGAAAAAAAAAGAATATCTGAGCCTGAACGGGAGGCAGACTAAGGGCAGGGAAAGATGTTGCATCCAATGCTATTGTTGCTGTCCCTGGATCTGTGCAGCCTCCTGGTGGGGCTGCCAGCACGGAGCTGACTGTATGCAGTGCTGCACAAGCAGAACCTGGTATTGATGGGAACTGTTTTCAGCACTCTCCTGGTGACTGTCATCCTCATGGCATTTTGAGTCTTCAAGTCCATTGGGCATTAGTGGCAGCCAAGCAAGTACCGCCACAAGTTTTTGGGAACAGAGTAAGTTATGATGCATGTGGGCCAATAGAGAAGTTGGAATCGGAACATTCCCACTCAGAAATAACCTTCAGTCTGGACAGTTGGTAAATGCTAAGTGATACAGAAGAAACGTCTACTAGCAATGATATTTTCATAACATCATAATACAAGTATCAGTTTGCTTATCAGTGTTCCTTTCTGCATGGCTATACTTTTTTAAAGTAAGGTCTGAAACTCCAAATTTAGTGTGAAGCTGAAATATACATGAGAAAAAACATTCTAATCTTGTAACTATAAAAACCACACTGGAATTGCCTAATCACTAATGCTTGAAGTAGAGAGAGGGAGGCTTAACAGATAGACATTCCCTGCTTTAGAGCCATTCAATCATAGTGGATTAAGAAGGACACGTTTTTACTATACTGAATTGACCTAGAACAATGTGCTGCAATAGGCTGTTTGTATCATCAAAAGCTCTAAAAGGCTGCCATCACTGATGTAGAATGTCCTGGTTGCAAAGCAGTGTCCACCGCATTGAACTCAAGCCACCATTCCTCCTCTGCACGTGGCTCTATACTCAGATGCTCCCACTGACACTAGCGTTGCATCAGCTAGGCCTGCTACCATGTGCATGGTTAGCCTGGAAGACTCCAGGGTTGCCCTGGAAATGTTCCTGGTAGGTCCATCAAGACGAGGGCTCTGTACTGCTCAAGCATTGATCTGCCTTGTACAGTATTTAAGTTTTTTTTTTTTACAGTATTTAAGTTTATGCAGCCCTTGGCTTAAAACCTGTGGTAGCTTTTCAGATTGGGAAGCTGAGAGACTGAGCAGGATCCCCTTTCCAGCCCTGACTGCAGAGGGTTCAACTAAGAAGCACATGTGCACCATGTGGGCTGTGTGTTTACATGAATTTAATTTCAACTTTGAAAATCCTGCTGTTAAGTTTGTACTGTTGATAAACTGGATTATTTTTTCCCTTGTTGAAATTATAACTGGCATATTTAATAAGCTGTTAGTAATTATTGTAAAGGTGCTAGATTTTTGTTATGAAATTGAAACACTTTTTATGTGCCTATGAAGCACAACACTGATTTTTTTTTCTTTTTTTTTTTTTTTTTTGTCTTTTTCATTTTTATCGGTACTAGGGATCGAACTCATGACCGCACACTTGCAAGGCAGGCACTTATGTGCTGAGCTAAATCCCCAGCCCCTGACCCAAGGATTTTGTTTGTAAACTTGTAATATACAGCCATTAAGATTTTCACTGTTGGGGCTGGGCAGGCACTTGCAAGCATGTGGTTGAGTTCGATCCGCGGTATCGATAAAAAAAAGATTTTCACTGTTCCATGCATTTTTGCAAAACATCAATTAAGAGTAAAACTCTAAAAACAAAACAAAATAAAAAGGTGAGGCATTCTAAAGTGAATTAGTATTCTGAAACATCAGGCTACCTTTGAGACCGTGTTTCAGACAGTGCTCCATGACAACAAAGAATTGCTGCAAGGGCGGGTAGTCCGAGTCCAGTGTGCGGCCAAAGCTCAGGGCGGATTCGATGAGCCCCTTGATGCTCAACTTAGCCATGTTTAGCAAGTTCGCTCTCTCTACAGCTGTGGGGTCTTTTGTAGCTGAAAGCAGAGAAGAGTTCAACATCACTTACAAGATCTTTTTGTTTTTTGAGACAGGATCTCACTATGTAGTTCCAAGTCACCTTGAACATACAGCGATCTTCTGCCTCAGTCTCCTGAGTTCTGGGATTAGAGACATGCACCACAATGCCTGGCCATTCACCCCAGCCCCCATTCACAAAGTCTGACAATGAAAACAACACTATTGTGTCCTCCTCCTAGAGAACCAAGGGTGGTTTGCATGTTGTCCCCAACCAAGTTAACCTTGCCATATACCTCTATGTCTCATTCACCCTACCATGGCAAAGTTTGCTGCTGTACCACTCCAGCCACATTTTTAAAAATTAAGTTTATTGGTACATTTTAGATACACACAATGATTAGATTTATCATAGGGAATTTGTACATGTACATTTGTACATGATAACTTTTTTTTTGGTACCAGCAATTGAACTCACAACCTTGCGCTTGCCAGGCAGGCACTTAAGCCACTGAGCTAAATCCCTGGCTACATGATATATATATATATATTTTTTTTTTGTCTTTTTCATTTTTATTGGTACCAAGGCTCGAACTCACGACCACCTGCTTGCAAGGCAGGTGCTTATGCCGCTCAGCTAAATCCCCAGCCCCAACATGATACATTTTGACTCCTCTTTTTTTCCCAATCCCTTCTTTTCCCTTCAACCTCTCTTCTCCTCCCTAATTACAAAAACGTTGTATCCATTTTATCTTGTATCTTTTTTTCTTCTTTCCTTTCTTCCTTCCTCTATTCTCCTTCCCTTACTCTAGTTCCTTTTTCCTTTTGGACAATTTCTTCCCATTTCACAATATCTATTCTACCTTTTGGATCTCATTTACTCTTTCAGTTTTTCACACCATGGAGACAATGTGATAGTTACACATGTGAGTCTGATTTATTTCACTTACGAGTATGCTCTTGGACCAGGGATTTAGCTCAGTGGCATAATCACCTGCCTGGCAAGCCTGAGGTTGCAAGTTTGATACCCAGTACCAAAAAGAAAAAAAAAAAGAGTATGATCTCAAGCTGCATCCATTTACCTAGAAATATCTCGTTCATTTTTTTAAATCTATATTTCAGTTTATGGGCATTTGCGTTGTTTCTGAGAATTAGCTACTACAAACTGTGCTTAAACATGGGTGCACACATATCACTGTGTTATGATATATTTAATTCTTCTGGGAAGATATCCAGCAGGGAAACAGCTGCATCGAATGAAACCTCTAATCCTAGCTTTTTAAGGAATCTCCACACTGATTTTGACAGTGGTTGCACCAGTCTACAATCCCACCAACAGTGGAGAAGGGTTCTTTTTCTTTTCTTTCTTTCTTTTTTTTTTTTTTTTCTTTATCATTGGTACCAGGGATCGAACTCACAACTGCCTGCTTGCAAGGCAGGCGCTTATGCCGCTGAGCTAAATCCCAGCCCCAAGAAGGGCTCTTTTCCCCCCATATCCCCTCACAGGTGTAGGCAAAGATTTCAGAAACAAAATCCTGATAGCAAAGGACAGAATACAAAAAAAACAACTGAGATCTTATCCTATTAAAAAGCTTCCGCACAGGAAAATAAATCACCAACAGAGTGAGAAAACAAACCACAGAGTGGGAAAAATTTTTTAGCCAGTTGTCCTTAAGACAAAGCACTTTTATCTAGAACACATAAAGAATTAAAAAAAAAAAAAATCAGATGCCCCCGCAATGTAAAACCCAATCCAAAAATGGGCATCTGAGATAAACACACACTCCTTAGATGAAGAAACATAAATGGCAAATAAATATCTGAAATATGTTTGCCATCACTGATCATCTAAAAGATGCAAATTAAAACAACACTTGGGGATTTAGCTCAGCAGTGCAAGCACCTGCCTGGCAAGTGCAAGGTTGGGAGTTCAATCTCCAGTACCAAAACACAAACAACACTGAGATTCTATCAACCAATAACAAATGCTGGAAGGGCATTAGGGCAAAAGGAACTGTTGGTGGGAATGTAGACTGGTTCAGCCATATTTTATGGACAAGTCTCAGGATTCTGCTACTGAGGGATGGTCCTGACCCCTTTTGGGACCTCACATATTTAGGGATCTCATGTAAATGTTAGCTAATAAGTATGTTCTAAGGATGAATTTCAAGCAAAAATGTTCAGGATTAACTGAGAATTTTTAAAAACATGGCTAAAGTTTGAAGTTGCCAGTGTTGCCCATAGCAAACATGACAGGTACAATACGCTGACCAATATGGTGATACAAGAGGAGCTGCCAGACCCTTTCATCCACTTCAACCCTCTTTCTGTCTCTTTTTCTCTCCAGTTGTGCTTTGTACTTTATGGCTGCCTCATGAAGTCGTCTTCTCTTCCACATAGCTGAGGATGCCACTGTTTCACCGTGAATAACAGACACATTTAAAGTCCCAATTCCACCATTCCCCTTCCTGGGGACTGAACCCAGGGCCTTTGCACTGAGCTACACATCCCCAGCCCTTCTTCTATTTTTAGTCTAGAGACAGAGTTTTGCTAAGTCACTAAACTGCCCATGTTTGACTTAAATTAGCAATTCTCTCATCTCCGCCTCACAGAAAGCAGGGATAAGGCCTGTGCCACCATACCAGCTAGATTTCTAGCTGATATTTTCAGTTAACAAAAGTACTATTTTCTTCTTCACAAATTTTATTCTTTTAGAAATTCAGATGCCTTCCTATGCTCTCATCACTGTTGTGACTGGCAGCAATATTTTCAGCAAACACAAATGGCAAAACGAGATGCAGAAAAATGAAGCCCTTAGAACATCTCATCATCTCTGACAAATGCGCAAGTGCAAGTAATCAAAGTGTTCGTTTTTCCTTCACTGAGCAAACATCCAGAGTTTTGCATGACCTGATATTCCAGTTTGGATTTCAGACAGCTAGGCATGAGGCCTGACACCGAATCCTTGGCCACTTAAAACACAGACGCGGCTGCTCTAACCTGGCTGACCAGCAATGCACATCCACACACATCCCATTTCCAATCCACAAAGTAGAAGTAACCCTTTCTCCAGCAGCGAAACCGCCCGATATTTCATAATCTGTGACAATTCTCAGTTTACCGTGCCCATCACGATCCGGGGGTGGATGCGACCAGCATACAATGGGGACTCCTCAGCGTCCACCGCCAGGTCGGGTCGGGCACCAGTCCCTCGGCCACGCCCGACCGGGCCCAGGGCACCAGGGCCCCAGGCGCAGGTAGGGCCGGGCCGCACCCAGCCGAGACTGGAACTCCGTCCTTGCCTCCCCCGACCCAAGGCTTCTCGAGGCCTCAGGCTCCCCAGGACCCGAGTGCAGGCTCACCCAGGGTCTTGCACCGCACCGCCGCCCCTCTCTCGCCCTCGGCGTCCGGCACCCACGCCATTCCTTGAGAGGGGTCTTCCTTCCGCCACCCCCACCCCTGAAAAGTCATTGCTCGTCCCGAACTGTCCTCCTGTCCTGCAACGATGATGCCCCAGCCGTCCTCGTCCTCGCTCGCGGCCGCCGCGGGACCCTGGGTCCTCAGCCTCCCAGCGCAGCGCAGGGGCGGGGGTGGGGGCGGTGAGGTGGGGCCGCGTTGCCATGGCGACCCCCGAGTCCCGCGGCTCCCGCCCACCCGGCTCCAGCTCCGGCTCGGGCGCGGCGGCCTCCGCCCGCCCTTCTGGCACGCGCCCTGCGGCTCGCAGCCTGCGACCCCGTGCAGAGCGCAGCGGCCACCCCCTGCGGGCTCGGCTTACCCATGGCAGCAGCGCCGTCGCGGTCGGGGCTCCCTGGGCCCGACCACCCACCCCCGGTAGCCGAGCGGCGGCCGCCACGGTGTCTGCACAGGCCCCGGTGGCCCACAGCGCCTCCGGCGGCGGGAGGACGGCGGCCGGGAGAGCTCAGGGGCCCGGGAGCGCGGGCGCCAGGGCACCCGAAGAGCCCCCAGGGCGTGGTCAGCGGCGCCACCGGTGTTCGGGGACCCCAGGCTCCTCAGGCGCCGCCTCCTTCGTTTGTCTTCATCTTTGCCAGCTCGCCGGAGGATTTGGAGAAGCTCACGCAGCGAACCGTGGTCGGAAATTTACTGACACTGGATAGACAGCTCCAAATCACGCTTATAAGCTGTCATAGGGGAAGCGATGCGATGCAGGCGGGGAAGTAAGTTCCTGGCCAGATGACGCCAAGCTTAAATCATACCGACTTGGGAAAAGTAGAAGCTGATACTCCGTCAGATCTGCGTAATAGCTTAAGACTATAGCTGCTGCACGTCATGAAATTGGACGCTATCTTTCTTTACTGGTTTGGCTACTCATAAAGTTGCAGAGGGGTACTGATTGAACCCATTTCACACACAGGGCCTTCCCACTAAGCTACATCGCCGGTTTTTTTTTTTTTTTTTTTTTTTGCAGACAGTCTGGCTAAATTGCCCAGACCGGGCCCAAATCTGTGATTCTCCAAGCTCAGCTTCTCAGAATGCTGGGATTGCAGATAGTACCACATCCAGCTAATTTTTTTTCTAATTTTTGTTTTTCAAATACCAGTCTAGATTATCACATGCCGAACTATCAAAGGCCAGAAATACAAGATTACAAAAAAATTTCAGTGTGATCACTCTCCCAAGTTTTGAGTCACTGACCAAAGGTGACAAGAAAGACACCAGAAAATCAGCAAGATAAAGGTTCACTGAAATTTGGGGGCAAGGCCAATATAAGTGATCCAAAGGCAAAGTTTAGGACCTGGCAAGTCAGAGTGGAGTGCTCCTTTGGCAAAGCACCAGAGGTGAGAGCCATGGTAGTGTATACCTGTGCCCCACCACCTGGGCAGGAGGTGTGCTGAGGCAGACGGATCAAAGCAAGTTCGAGGTCAACTTGTGTTCAAACCAGCTTGAACTACATAGCAAAACCCTGTCTCAAAAACCACAAAGATGCTGGTTGAACCCAGTCAGTTCGAAAAGATGGAAGAATTAGCCTTAGAGAGTGAGGGATGAAGAAAAAAGAGAAGATTCAAAGGATGAGTCAACAGGTGAATACTGAACTCGGTCCCAAACTAGGCCCATGGTATATAGCAGGGCAGTGGCCAAAATGAAATTGGCAAAAAGAGTTCCTTCAGGAGGCACCCAAATGCAGAGGACTGGGAAATGATAGGATCTGAGAATGGGCCTCTTACACAGGAAGAAAGTTAACAGGTTAGGAGGTAACTGGTAGTTTGTTTTCTGGTACCAAGGATTGAACTTACAACCTTGCATTTGCCAGGCAGGTGCTTATGCCACTGAGCTAAATCCCTGGCCATTGGTAGTCTATGAATGTATGATCAAGCTTCAGCTTTCACCATCCTGACCTTCATGTCAGAGGCCTTATCTCTAAAACTGTTTTGCTTTTTGCTTTGTTTTTGTTTTGGTACCAGGAACGAACTTTGGACCTTGTGCTTGCAGGAACAGATGCTGACTTATAAAAGTCAGCTAAAAGTAAGTTAAGAGTAAGTGAATTGGATTAAGAGTACAGTATTTATTCCAGGTTTCTTTTGTTTTAAACTGATTTAGGAATGGGCTCACAGAGATAGCACAGTGTCTTTCAACCCTAGCTTCCCAGCTCTACAAGGAAAGCCTTGTCTAGGCTAATGGTGCTTTTGAACTGGGACCAACCAAGTGAGGGCCCAGAAATGCTGACAAATGGGAGCCATTGTGTTCTCAGCCTTGTGCAGAGCTCATGCTTGCAGTGCAGCACTATAGTTCTTTGAAGACCTGGGCTGCCTTTACCTTCCATCTCACCCCAGCTGCCATCTCACAGCACCATCTATGTAGAAGACATCTTCTAACTCTTTCAAATAATTAAATGGCTATCATCTCATGAAAAATGATAGCCACCTTGGAACTCCTTTCTGGACTTTTCTATGGAGCTTACTTCTCAGGCCATACAAATCTGTATGAAAGGAACCCACCATTAATTAAGCCAAAGAGGTTCCTAATTATTTTAGTTTGAGAAACTGAAATCTTAAGATTCCTTCCTGCTTTTTCATGATACCTAACAGTAATAGCCCCTATAATCACAACATTTCCTGTCTTCATGGTCTCATCTAAACTTTCTGCATGTTCAAGCCCATCCTATATAGTCTAATAAATCTCTATAATATCAGCATTCCTTGATTTCAGCTATAGAATATTATCACTACAAAAATGTTGGATAATCTTAAACTCCATCATTAGCATTAATAATAAACGACACAGTAAAATCTACCAATAGAAAACAATTTATTACAACTTCAAGTAATAACCCAAACAAAAAAGTAGAGGTAACAATTTTAATATTTAATATTCATTAAATAACAAAATGAATGTTAACACCCCTCCCACACCCGCCCCCGCCCCCACCACCATCCCAGTACTAGAAAGTAAATCATGGGTGCTGCATATGGTAGGCAAGTGCTCTACCACTGAGCAACATCCTCAGCCCTTTATACTTTTGGTTTTTTTTTTTTTTTTTTGTCTTTTTCATTTTTATCAGTACCGGGGATTGAACTCACGACCGCCTGCTTGCAAGGCAGGTGCTTATGCCGCTGAGCTAAATCCCCAGCCCCCTATACTTTTGTATTTAAGACAGGATCCCCAGGTTGCCTAGGCTGGCCTTTGGCTTGAGATTCTCCTGCCGCAGCCTCCTGAGTAGCTGCCAAACCCAACACACAAACATGAAAACTGAGGAATGCCCTCAAACACAAAAGCAAACAAATATAAATAAGTAAACAGTACGTAAATAAGAAATATAACATGTTTTATAACATTTAGTTTTGTCATCAATTAAGAAAATAAGATTTCTTCTAAAAATAATAAAAAAAATTTTTAAAAACGTAACAAACTATCAAATTCCATTTTAACTGGATGTAGTGGCACACACCTGTAATGCTAGCACTGAGGAGGGATTTCAGGGCCAACCTAGAGTACCAAGTGAATCTGAACTGAGTACTAAAAATCAAAATGACCTTTGAATCGGGAACCTCAAAATACAGAAGGGGGGAAAAAAAATCACACCTTTTTTCTCAGTATCATAGCATTGTGTTTAAATGATCAAAACTTTATTTATCTAGTCTTTTACATATAATTCTTTTTTTTTTTTTTTTGTCTTTTTGAGATGGGGTCTCACTATGCAGTTCAGGCTGGCCTTGAGCTCACTTTGTAGCCCAGGCTGGTCTCGAACTTCCAAGGATCCTCCCACCTCAGCCTCCCGAGTGCTGAGATTACAGGCGTGAGCCACCACGCCCGGCTTACATATAATTCTTGTGGTTAAATCTATAAAACCAAATTTGTCCTGAAACTTTAGACTTAAAAATTTAAACTCAGATCCAGAATTTAATCCATGTTTAAAGTTGGTTAAAAGTTTATCAAATTTTTCCTCAGCAAGATAAAAATGTATTTATAGTACCACTAAATTTACAGTTTCTCCAGTTTTGGATACATTAGTACTTAAATACTGTATGAAATATTGTATGACAATTGCATTTTTATGTTTAACGAGACGAGATTAAATAAATTTTAAAAAACAAACAGCTGGAACTTTGTACAGCACCCTTGAATACAAATCATCTTCACAGTTTTACCAGGCTCTGATTTTCAGCAAACCAAAAAGAAGAATAGCAGCACCAGCTAGGCGACAATGCCTAGTGTGAATCGGTAAGGAAACAGTGCCTTATCCTCTCTGAAAATCTCCCAGTATGTGACAGAGACTTTCATGTTTTCTTGATGGAAGATCAATGATATAAAATAATTAAAGAAAGATACATTTACCAATATGGGAGTCCACAGAAACATTTATGACATTTCCCCACATTTTAAAGTAGAATTTACAGACCTACAAAAACTGAACAACAGCTTGGTGTGCTAGTGCACACCTATAATCCGGTGCTCAGGAGGCTGAGGCAAGAGGTTTGTTGCAAGTTCGAGACCAGCCTGGCTACAAAGTGAGCTCAAGGTCAGCCTGAACTGTATAGCGAGAAAAGACTCCCCCCATCAAAAAAAAAAAAAAGTGAAGAGCTGCATGACACGCTATGGAAAATTATGTACTTAAGCAATAAGATTAATATATCTGTCTCTCTAGTGAGAGAAGCTGAAGGAAATATATATATATGTGTATATATATATATATATATGATAATTATACTACTAATTTCTCTTAGTTCATTGAAAAGACTGATATTAATATTGTTTGAAATTTGAAATCTGTATTGATTAAATACAGATACTTTGTACGCCTAGTAATTTAAAGATAACAATACACAATGTTTTTTTTGTTTTTGTCTTTTTCCTTTTTATCGGTACCAGGGATCAACTCATGACTGCCTGCTTGCAGGGCAGGTGCTTATGCCACTAAGCTAAATCCCCAGCCCCTCACAATATATTAACCATTGTTATCCTCTAATTATCTTGTTTTGAAATTTTTTTTTCTCTTTAAAATTAAAAAAATATATATGGGCAAGAGATTTAGTTCAGTGGCATAAGCATAAGCACCTGCCTGACAAGCACAAAGTCATGAGTTCGATCCATGGTACCCAAAAAGTAAAAAAATAAAAATAATAGAAATAACTAAGATTAATGTACCTTTTTTTGTTTTATTTTTTTGGTACTGGGTTTCAAACTTACAACTGTGTACTTGCAAGGTGGGCGCTTTCACCACTGAGCTAAATCTCCAGCCCAAGATTAATGTATCTTAAGAGCATCCAGGGCCCTGGGACTTAGCTCAGCAGCATTAGCTCCTGCCTGGCAAGCGCAAGGTCATGCATTTGATGCACTACCAAAAAAAAAAAAAAGAGCATCCAATAAGTTTTTTAATGGTTTGAAAAAATACTGGAGGAAGGGCTGGGGGTGTCACTCAGTTGAACAGCACTTACCTAATATATACAAGGCCCTGGGTCCCCCCACACACACTATAATAAATAAAGTTAAAAACAAAAAATAAGGCTATAAATTGGGAGAGAACCAGAGAAGAGTGAACCAATTTTCCTGAATGTGCTAGTTTTGGGACAACAGATTATGTTTCACTTTTTTCCTTTCTTAGTTTACAAATTATCTACCTCTGTCACTTCCATTTCTTCCTGTGATGTACCATGACCTCCTGTGAATTATTTTCTCTCTCCTCTGTCAAAGTAGATCTTTGAGAAACGCAGGTGAAAAACATTGGACACCAAGTTTCAATTTAGACAAGTTCATAAAAAGAACAGTAGCACAAATGTAGCCACATACCTGACAAAAAAGGATATTAATTTTTCTGAGTTTAGATGACAAAACAGCTTCTCCAAAGGAGGATATTGCTTTAGTGAGGGCACACACCCCAAGAGAATCAGTTTATGTTTCGCTCTGGTTATAGCAACATTAAGGCGTCGCCAATCTTTCCAGAGTTCACCAAGCTGTCAAAAATGTAAATTTCAATTATTTCAGTTTTCTTATAATGTATATTTAAGTTTGCTCTGACAAACAACATGGGTTTATTTTTATCTATTTTCCTCTCTCCTCTCCCCCCCTCTCCCTCTCTTTTCTCTCTCTCTCTCACAGGGTCTTGCTATGAAGCACCGGCTGGCCTAAAAACTCACAAGGATCCTCCTGCCTCAGCCACACCCAGCTTATTTTCCTAATTTTAAAACATGGATTACAAAAAAGATTGATCAATACATTTAAAATACTAGGCAGTTGCGAAAACTTTTCAAGTATTTTATGTTGTAATACCCTAGTCATAATTTAAAATGATTAACTACATGTAATAAATATAAAGAACTAGAGCTTTCTCCACTCACTATAGTATTACTTGTAATAAAAATTACAAAAAAAGACTGAGAAAAGTGGTTAAATGTTATGATATATCTATAGAATGGATAACTGTGCAACTGTGAGAACAAAATGAAACCTCCCCGTGAACTCACATGAGGAGCATCAACACCTTCAAGTACAAAAAGCAAAGCCCAAGATAGTGTCTGGATAATCTGAAAGGTTGCAAAAAACAAAAAACTCAATAGTAGCCAGGCATGGTGATGCATGTTTCTAATGCAGCCACTGGGAGGCTGAGTCAGGAGGACTGCAGCAAGTTCGAGGCCACCTTCAACTACATAGCAAGACCCTCCACCCTTTCCAAAAAAATAAAACTGCATGACTATCTGCAAGGTAAGAGAAACGGAAACGGAAAGAGTAGGAAGTTTTCTATATTATGTATACTTTAAAACCATATAAGTGTATTATATAGTTAAGAAAAAGAAATCAAAGGAGAGATATAAACTACACATGATGGCATGCATTTATAAACCCAGCACAGGAGGCTGAGGCAGGAAGATTACTGTGACTTCAAGGCCAACCTGGGCTACATAGTGAGACTGTCTCCAAAAAACAAAAAATAAATTAGAGATGTGAAAATTCAAACAAAGACTTGCTTTTGTTTAAAATGCTCAGCCACAACAGCCAAAGGCGAAAGCAACCCAAAAGGCCACCTATAGATAAATGGATAAATAAAATGCCATGTATGTAAACCATGGGTATTATTTCATCTTAAAAAGGGAGGAAATTGGGGCCAGGGATTTAGCTGAGTGGCATAAATGTCTACCTGGCAAGCACAAGGTCATGAGTTCGATCCCTGGCACCAAAAAAAAAAAAGAAGGAAACCCTATCACATGCTACAACATGAATAAACCTAAGTAAAATAAGCCAGTCAGTCACAAAAAGACAAATATTGTATGATTTCACAGGTGAAGTTCCTAGAAAAGTCAAATTTAGAGACAGAAAGTAGAATGATGGTTAATAACGGGCTTGGAAATAGAGAAATGGAGAGTTATTCATTAGTACAAATTTTTTTTTCTTTTTCTTTTCTTTTTTTTTTTTCACGTCAGATGGGTAATGTGCCGAGGTCGTAACAAGGTTCAAAGGAGGCACATGTCATGCATGGAGCATGAACACCCAATCATCACGCTTATGAACCTGAGGATCATTAGTACAAAATTTTCAACGTGCAAAATGAAGTTTCTGAAGATCTCTTTAACAACATTGTGAATTTACTTAATACCACTGAATGGCATACTTAAAAATGCTTAAGATGGCAAGTTTGCTGTTATTCACCACAATTTCAAAGAAAGAGATGCAGCTAAATTAGAGCACTTACCTAGTGTGCGAAAGGCCATGGGTTCAAACCAAACCAAACAAAACACAACACAACACAACACAACACTTAGGGAGGGACGCCGCCAATGAGTCAGCTACAAATATAATTCACTTACAGTTCCATCTTTATTACTTCTAACAAAAGATACGAGGATTATTCTTTTGTCTCTTCCTTGGTACTTGTCTACTGTATTAACTTCAACTGTCCCCAAAGAAGAATGTGGCAATAAATCCCTGATGATCTTTAACTGCTGCCTATATGGTGCAATGATACCAATATCAGAGGGATTACATCCAGCCTAAAAAGAAAAGAACACAATTTAAAATGAAAAATACTGATTTTGTAGTTCTTTAAGCTTTACCAAATATATTAAATTAAATGTTTACATTATGTACTTAACTCAGGTTTGCAAATGATGTTGCAAACATATTATTCATCTTAAGGACTAAGTACTGAATTTGTTCTAATTATATGCCTGTGTTACTCATGATGAAATAATACCTTGGACATTGCTCCTCTGGCTCTTAGAGGTTCAGGCAGCATAAAGGTTTGTGGGCCACAAAAAACTGCTGCCACTGAGTACAATGTTGCCCAGAAACACATTTTGCTTTCTCTTATCCTTTACACAGCAAAGTATCCAATGCCCAGTCATACTGATTACAGAACAGTACTGACACAACTGCAATTATCTGACATTACAAAATTATCCTGACTGCCACTATAAAAAATTACACTTTTTAAAAGTTATTTGAGACAGGGTCTTGCTATGTAGTCCAGCCTGGTCTTGAATTCACTATGTAGTATGTATTCCAGGCTGGCCTTGAACTTGTGGTAATCCTGCCTTAGCCTCCCAAGTGCTGGGATTACAAGCATGCGCTATCATGTCCAACCAAAAATTAAACCCTTTAGATAAATTTTCTCAAAAAAAAAAAAAAAAAAAAAAATAGGGCTCCAGTCTCATCTTAATTAATGACACTAACATCAGATCTGAAATTGTTTACAGCCCAATAATATTCTATTATTCTGAACCTGAATGTTAATTAGCCTTGAAAATTCTAAATTACCTTAATAAAAGTTGCAGTCAAGAAAACTATGAGTTTGGCTTCTATTATATTGCTCACACCACTTTTTTCAACTTGTTCTGGTGCTGGAACCTGAGTAGAAAAATAGGTAGCTTATTTATAACAATCTCTAAGAGCACAGGGCAATGTAGAGACTCTACAGCACGTTGGAAATATGAAAAAACAAAACCTCCTTTTTAAAGTTTAATGTGAAGAATTAGCAAAAGTGAATATAATCACTTTCTAGAAGGCAGGCAAACACAACCCATCTTGAAGATGCTGTAGTTCAGCTTGAAATCTTAGGAAACTTGATCACATTTGGTGTGTTTCATACACTTTACCTTCTGTTATTTCCCACTTTTTCAGAATTACAAAGAGTGACTTGCCTAAGGCTTTACAATAAGTCCTCATACTAGGACTCAAACTTAGAGCTGGCTCTAATATTAGTACCTTTTACAATTTTTGTTGCCTTTTATACAAATAATGGAGCAGACAAGCTTCCTTGGCTCTACCAAATCTGTGAACTCTAGGACTGCTTTACTACTCTGTTATCCCCACATAAACCTTATTTATTTTTTCATGGTACTAGGGGTAGAATTCAGTATATTGCACAAGTCAGACAAGCACTCCACCACTGAACTATATCCCTGGCACAATATTGATTATTTTATTGTTTATTTGGTGGCACCAGGGATTAAACTCATGACCTTGCACTTGCCAGTCAGGCATTTATACCACTGAGCTAAATCCCTGGCTCAATATTGATTATTTTTAAGGTAACTTATTTGGTGCATAATAGGCAAAAGTTCTGCCACTGGGGCTGGGAGTTTAGCTCAGTGGCATAAGCACCTGCCTTGCAAGCAGGCGGTCGTGAGTTCAATCCCTGGTACCGATAAAAATGAAAAAGACAAAAAAAAAAAAAAAAAGTTCTGCCACTAAGCAAAGATAATTACTTAGAGCAGTGGAGTCGAACCTAAGGCATGTAAGCTACACAGAACACAAAACCTTTTCTGTGACAGGAGAGCCAATTTGCCAGCATTGCGCAGCAGCCAAGCATCAGATAACAATGCACATTGTGGGGCCGGGAACATAGCTCAGTGGCAAAAGCACGTGCCTGGCAAGTGCAAGGTCGTTTTTCATGTGGCTGGTCAATATTCAGGTTTAATTGCAGTGCTGGCATTTTAGTAAATAAGTGGATTTTGGGTTGCAGTCTGGGCACTCAGTCTCTAACGAGTTCACCATCACTGTTCTATAGTAATTCCTACTGCTACCTGAACTTCAAACTACTGAGAATCACTGAATGAAACACAAGAATACAGTGTCAAAACTTCATTCATAGTACCTAGAAATAGGACTCAAGCCACTTAATGTCCTTGGGATGATTTGCATTTAATAACAAATCTGTAGAACAATTTTTATGTGCACACGTTAAGCCAAAAAGTACATGGGAAATCCATGTATTTCCTCTTTAGTTTTGCTATTAACCTGAAACTGCTCTAAAAACCAAAAGCTCATTTTTATCTTTTTGAGACAGCCTGAATGCTATGCCATTCAGGCTGAACTTGAGTTCACCTTATAGCCCAGGCTGATTCTGAATAATTTTTAAAAGTTTTTAAAAGTCATTAAACTATTTTATTTTCTATCCACTTACAAAGTCTAGGGATATAGCTCAATGGCAAAGCACTTGTCCTAATGCACAAGCTTTCAGTTCAATCAGTCAAACACCAGCAAAAAATCTATAAACGGCAATTTTGATACCTATGAGACCCCAGAATAAGTCTCCTCCCAAAGATATGGGCCTAATAAGAAAAGAGTCCTATGCTGAAGTACAAGGACATACTAGTTTGCCTTCAAACTAATATTCTTAACAAAACAAGTACTAATATAAACTGAGAAAGTTAAACAGGACAGAGAAAAATAGAAGGTTTTTTTGTTTTTTACCTTTTCTGTGTTAAGAAAGCAAACAGGATTACTTGGCTCAAATACTCCACTCAGCCAGGGACTATCAGAATAATCAGCATAAATTTCCAGTTCCAGCTTGACATCTTTAAAGTTAGGTAAAATCATCACTGCACTGGCCACTCTGTCTGATCCACACTCCAGCTTTCCTTCATAGGTCAGCTTATTACTTAAGGACATGATTGTACTAAGAGATACAAATACAGCATCAGTTTGGTAGATGAAAATAAAACATGGAAAAGACTCATTGCTAACACAAATAAATACCTGTTCATCCTGTACTGTACAGTTAATTGCACAACAGCATTCTTATTCCGCTCCAGTCTCTTGAACAAGCTTTCACTCATGCCAAGAGCTCTGTCAACAAATCAAATTCAGGCTCATCAGTGTACTGTTACAGTCCCTTGAAAAGAATACAGTTCAAGTGTAATACAGTAGTGTGGGTGGTATGCATCTGTGATCCCTCCATGCCAGAGGCCTCCTGTCTCAGCAGGAGGAACCCTTGACCCTGAGAGTTCCACCAGTCTGGGCAACACACACAACCCCGGCTCTACTAAAACAAAACAAAACAAAACTTAAAGCCTGCCTACCTTGCTTCACGGTTTACCACCAGCGGGGGAAGTTGTTGATGATCTCCCACCAACACAAATCTCCGAGAAAAAAAAAGTGGCCCCAGGCAAATTGGTTGGCTGATTTGAGAGGCTTCATCCACAATACAAAAATCAAAAGTTTTACGGGAAAATATTGGATGGTTTATTCCCATACATGTTGTGGCAACTATAAGCTAAAAAAAAAAGTAAGCAAAGAAAACAGAACAGTTACTTAACATGTAAACAAAATGGTTCTCCCCCCACCTCCCCTCACACACCTTTTCTTCTTTTTTGAGACAGTCTAACTATGTAGTCTAGGCTGGCGGTGAATTCACTATGTAGCTCAGGCTGGCCTCAAACAGCAGTTCTGCCTCAGCCTCCCAGTGTGCTAGAATTACAGGTGTGTGCCACCATCCCCAGCACCCCCCTGTAAAAATAATTATTTAATTGTAAAATATTTATTCATGCAAAATATATTTTTAATTTTTTTGAATAGAAAAAAAGAATAAAGTGAATTTCCAGGCACTATGAACAAGGCTCACATTTGGGTATTTCCAAGTAGATATCTGAAACACTTGGCTTAATCCCTAGCAAAAAAATTTTGGAACATTATATACAAAATGAACAAAGAATGACCTTGGAGACGGAGATAAGGCAGACTAGGGAGCTCCAGGAGAGGAACAATGCAAACTTTTGCACATACTTTTGCACACTTAACCCATAAGGCTTTCTTTTTGCCTCACTTGTCCCACACTTGGACTAAAGATGCCACCAGCTAGGACCACCAATGGTGGAAATCAACAATGGCTTCAACAAGTGCCTGGTCTCTGTAGCTAAAGAGAAAGCTCAGCAGACAGAAAAAAATTTAAGCAAGAACCACTCCACTATCACCAGTCACCCCAGAAAAATAACAGGGCTTCATCCCTAGCAGTGTCAGTGTGGCAGGTGGAGAGAACAGCTTCTCGCCTCTCCCTGCTGTGGAAAGGCAGCCAATCACCAGCATGGGGCTGGAGAAGGCAGAAGCAATAGTCACCATTTTCACCTGGGTTGATAGGGAAGCAAATTCCCAACCAGCAACATCCATGGAGACCACACTGAGATCCCACTTCTCAGGCATCGCAAAGAAAGCGGAAGCTCTGCCTGACAGAGGACGCTTGCTAGGATGGAAACACTCAACAAAATACATAACACTCAAGGTTCAATTAAAAAAAAAAAAGACAGGAAAATATCAAACTAAATTGAAAAAAAAAAAAAAAAAAAAAAAAAAAAAAAAAAAAAAAACCCCACTGACCCCAACACCAAAGTGACAGAAAGGTCAGAATTATCTGACCAAAAATCTGAAGCCATGATAAAATTGTTTTAACAAGCAATTATCAACACACCTGAAACAAATAAAAGAAAACAGGCCCAGCAAAGAGGTAGCACGTGGACACTTCAGAACTTAAAAAACACAGTAACTAAAATTAAATAATCACTGAAAAAAGGATCAGGGAACAGGCACACAGAAAAAAGGAATACAATCTAAATAACATGGATAAAACAGACTGGGAAAAAATGCATTTCCTATCCCAAGGAAACAAAAAGCCTATATATGAGTGCCTGTAACATCTTTATTCATGACAGCCTAAATATCAGAAACAACTCATATTTTCAATGCTAATCGGTAAGCATGCTATGAACAATACTCAACAATAAAAAGGAACAAACTATTAAATTCATAAAACCATCTGGGTGAATCTTCAGAGTCAGGCTGAGTGAAAAATGCCAATCCCAGAAGGTTCCATACTGTAAAGAAGCAGGTTTTAGCAATGCAAGTGCAACAGGTGGTAAAAGAACACTGATTCTATCAATGCCCATATATATGGGTGCTTTTTGTGGCTGGTTGGATGGTTTGTGATACTGGGGATCAACTCACGGTCTTTCTGAGCTACATCTCCAGGTCTTTATATTATTTGTGAGACAGGGTTAAATTGCTGAATTGCCCAGAATGGGTTTGAACTCATGACCTTCCTACTTAAGCCTCTATCTAGTTTCTGGGATTATAGGCATGTGCCACCAAATCCAGCTGGTTCTGGGTTATATTGACAGTCAACGAACAGTCCACTGAATCTAACCTAAAGACAAAAAAAAAAAATTTTTTTTTTTGGCACCAGGGATTGAACTCACAATCTCACACTTGCCAGATAGGCACTTAAAGTTGCTGAGCTAAATCTCTGGTTTCTAAAGACAAAATTAAATTTAATTTTAGATGATCTTCAAAAATACCACTTATGACTAACAGCAAAAGGCATTAAATAATAAAAACTAAGTCTTTTGTAGCTTGTGTCTAACGTCCCCCAAAGCTTCATGAGGGCCACAGGTGGGGCTTTTCAGAGGTGGCTGAATCTAGAGTGTGTGATGCTGGGATTAAATTTTGATGCTGGGATCAAGGGTGTATGATTACTAAATTAGTTCACTGATCAGTTAGGCATACTTCTGGGAGTGGGGAACAGGAAGGCCCTCCCTGGGTGTGAGTGCTACCTGCCCTAAGTAAGTGTCACCTGAATGAAATGGAATATAAGACACAGAAAGAGGACTCATGTGATTGCTTGTCACTTGCTGCTTTCTGCCTGTCCTGCTTTGCCATGGACTGTTTCTTTTCTGTGATGCGCCTCTGCCACATCACCCTGCTTGGAGCCAACTGACTATGAACTGAAACCTCGACAAACTTGATCTACAATAAACCTTTTTTCTTAATTTGGGGTATCGGGAATTTATCTCAGCAATGAGAAAAAGTAACTAGAAATACATAATCACACACACATCTGGACAATATGACTAAGTTCCCAGAGTACCATTTCTCCCTTAATTCTGGCCATAGAAATTATTGCCAGTATTAGTATCCAGTAACTGTACTTACTTGACTATTATACAAGTCTTCTAGGACAGCCAAGGATTTAATGGATTTTGATCTACAAATTTCCTCCTCTGTAAATTTCTGGATATCTGGATGAACCTTCTGAGTCTGACCCAAACGCAAAAATTTGATTTTAAACTTGTTTAACTTCAAAAGAATATTGTCAACAGCAGAATGTGTATAGCTGGTTAACAGAACACTGAAACCACAGGCATAGAGGATTCTCACCTAATGGATAAGAAAGAAATACAGCATTACTTTTAATACCAGATAACTTTCAACATGCCTATATTTTTCAAACAGACCTAGAAAGTTCAACTGGAAACATATCTAGAAGCTGAGCCAAGCAATAAAAAAAAATTATAAAGCCAAAATATTTTACAGAAATTATATGGCATTATATTATTCATATATAAGTAATAATAAAGTCAGACACATGTAAGTTTTTAATATTGTTTGGCATACTTATTCTGAGACTACCTATAGAAATTTAATGATGTAACAGAAATCCAAGAAAATCAAACTATCAATATAATTTGTCTTTCTTCTTCTCCTTCTTCCTCAAGACAGGGTCTCACCAAGGGGTCCAGATTGGCCTCAAACTTGAAGCAGTCCTCCTGCCTTAGACTTCTGAGTGCTGGGTTTACAGATCTATGCCACTATGCGCAGCTTAATTTGTCATTTTTAAAGGGAAGGGAAGTTGAAGGCCAGTCAGGGCTACATGGTGACTTCCAAGTACAGCCTCAGCTGCAAAGTGAGATCAAACAAAGGGAAGGAAAGACAAGTGGTGCTACATAGCACATACCACCAACAGAAAGCAAACTTAAAATCTGAAATGTGAAAAGTAATTATATCTAATGTATCTATAATTTAGCTTTTTTATTTTCTTTTGTCATTCTACAAGGTAAATTTGAATTAAGTATTTTTAATTATAATTCAGCCCTTTTGGCATCAAATATCTCATCCTCTGAGCTGAGGGACGCTGATACAAATGGTTTTTAAGCAAAATAATAACCTTACAAGGGAACAGATGGTGGTGGTTTTTCCTGTCCCAGGCATACCCACGATGAGTGTGTAGTCTTTTGAAAGAAGAACCTTTTTCATTGCTTGTCTCTGAGGCTTATTTAAACCTACATTTAAATTAAAAAAATAACAAGAATAAAATTACCAAATTTCAATACACAAACTCACTATTTCATAAGAAAATCAATCCTTGCCTGCACATGTTCTTCGATACATCTTTTAGAAGTAAAAAATTGTATGTTGACTGTTTTGTGGGGAGAGAGAGGGAATGACAGGGTCTTGTTGTGTGGTACAGGCTGCCCTTAAACTCAGTGAGTAGCCCAGGCCGGCTTAGAGCTCCCAGTGATCCACTTGTCTCAGCCTCTAAAGTGCTAGGATTACAGGCGTGTGCCACTATGTTGCCTTTTAAAGACGTATATAAACTACTTTCACATGGTCTCTGGCTAACCATTATAATTGCAAGTCTAATCAATTATTAAGAAATCAGGCAGGGCATGGTAGTACACTGCTGCAATCTCAGCACTCACAACACTTAGGCGGGAGGATCACTGAGAGCCTGAGGCCAGCCTGGGGTACAAAGTGAGGGTTCAAGGCCAGCCTGAACTGCATAGTAAAACCCTGTCTCAGAAGGAAGGAAGGCAGGAGGGCAGGAGGGCAGGAGGGCAGGAAGGCAGGAAGGAAGGAAGGAAAGAAAGAACCGAAGGAAGAAAGACAGGCTTTGGTGTACTGTAGCTATAAGTAGAAGAAGGAAAATGACCCAAAGTGCCAATCACAGTGTACCCTTTAGAATGCCGGCCACTGTATCCTTTGCATCATGTGGAAGGACAGAACTGAGGGAGGATATAAACTGAGGCTCCTGAAAGTCGATAATTAAATCTCGAAGTCTCGTGCTGAAAAAAGAAAAGGCACTTTTAGTAGAATCCCTTAGGAAAGTAGGAAGAAATTTAGATTTACTCACTATTACAAACCTGTGCTGAGTGTTTTCCATCAATTTAGAGAGATTTCCTAGTGGAGTATCTATATCACAATTTTTTCCTTCCTGGTCTAGTCTAAACAAAGTTGATTCTGGAAGTACTGATAAGTTCCTAAAACAGTAAAATAAATACAGTTGAGTTTTTCATTTTATGTGATCTTTAGAAGAAATACACTGTTACCCCCCAAAAGAGCAAATGGACCAGAATAGCTATTAAAATAGCTACCGAAAAAAAGCAATCAGTTCCTCCCTCACACGTGCTTGTAAAAGGCAGCATCTGGCCATGACTGGTGGACAAAGAGGAAGTGGAGGGCACCCAGCAGCAAAGGCAAAGCCACTAACAATCACAAACCTGTAATATTTGCTCAATATCTGCTTGACCTTGCAATTTGTCATGTGCTCACCACCCAGAAGGGTCCAAAATACATGGTTCCCCTCTTCCAGCCTGAAGGACAGTCCTCTCTGTTGCCACCTCCCCTAGACCTTTCCATGCCCCTTACTCAGACGCCCCCTAGACTGTCTCCCTTGGCCCACTGAACTGCTACTCTTCTTGCTTTCTGCTGCCTAATTTGTGCCACCAAATCTCCCATCTTTATGCAGGCCCCATGCTTTCCTCCCACCTGGCTCATCACCCAAATTTCTGGTTTGAGTATCTGCAGGGAGCACGATCTCTCCACCTGGCTAAAACCCAGGTTATGAAACTTCCTATACTCAAAACTGAACTCCTCACCCCTGTTGCACCTGCACTGCCACCTCTGGTCCTGATTTCAGTTAATGTCACTTGGATCCATCTAGGGTACTGATCCTTCTCTCCCTCACCCTCTTCCCCAGCCCCACCTTGAAGCCCCACCTGGCTGCCTGCAGTTTTACTTTCTAAATACTTATCAATGAGGGGCTGGGGATTTAGCTCAGCGGCATAAGCGCCTGCCTTGCAAGCAGGCAGTCCTGAGTTCGATCCCTGGTACCAATAAAAACGAAAAAGACAAAAAAAAAAAAAAAAAAAAATCAAATACTTATCAATGAGTTTGATTCCCAGTACCAAAAAAAAAAAAAAAAAAAAAAAAACCTATAAATATCTAGCCAAAATCTCTCAGGGACAGGGAAACAGCTCAGCGACACAGCACCTGCCTGGCAAGTGTGAGGTCCTGACTTTGATTCCCAGTAACAAAAAAAAAGAAAAGTATTCTACAAAGAAAAGTAGACTGAGTAATTCAATCCAGAGGCACTAGTTTAATAAAATCACTCTCCTCTCCACTATACAAACTTTGCACTCAACCATAGCTACCCTGAGACACTATAACAGCTTCCAGATTTCACTGCTTTCAGTTTCGCCTCCTACTACCTCAAATCTCTGCAATTCATCCAACAAGGAAATACAAATCAATTACTATTTATGCTTCTTTTTAAACTGTCACACGGCTGGGAATGTAGCTCAGCGGTAAAGGAAATGCCTAGCATATGGAAGGACCTGGGTTCAATTCCCAGCACAAAAAATGAAAACTTCACATTTGAAAAAATAAAATGAAGCTTCCAAAACGTGATATATTAAGATCTACTATGAGCTGAGCCCTCCAATCTCTCCCTTATATTTTACATTCCAGAAACACTTAACTACCTTCACTTTTTCAAACACCATATCATACTAGCTTATATGCTCATGCCTGTCAACACATTGATTCAATCTGGCATGCTGTTCACATTTACTAGTTTACTAATGTATAGAATGAAGATTCACAATTAGGTTTTTTTTTTCCCCAAAAGCCTCCTGTCCTTCTAAAATTGAGTGAAATGCTTCTATCATCCTATCAATTTGAAATCTTCATGTATTAGGCTGAAAAATAACACACATGTGCCTACACACAAGACCATAAATTCCTTAGGTACTTACAAAGCACCTACCACATCATACATACAACCTGCTAGGAGAGCCAAGGACACAGCTCAATAGAGTGCTTGGCCCTAGGTACCATCTGCAATACTATAAAACCCAAAACCTACCTCTAAGACCTATAGGGAAACCTAAGAAACAAAAGGAATACTGTGGCTCACACTCCCTTATCACAGAGCACAGACCAGGGCTGGTGATGGCCCAACTAGGATCACTGGTTGACAAGGAATAACTGTGGACATCTCCACTGCATTTATCCATCCAGCACAAGCCCCAGCTGCTGACCTCTATCCACTCCGTACTAGCTGTGAGGGGACTAGTCATGCAAAATGGGGTGTTATGGCTTGAGTCTGGAGGCCCCTCCAAAGCCACAGGCAGTATTGGAGGGGCTTTCTAGAGGTGGCGGGATCTAGAGTGTGTGATACTGGGATTAAAGTGTGTGATTACTAAATGAGCACTCTGGTTGGCTTGGTTGCGTGTGAATAATGGGAAAGGCCAACCTTGGTGTGCGAGGCAGCACCAAAGGGCAGGGAGCCTGGAAGGGACAGAAGGGAGTGGCTTCCGCTGCTACAACTCCTGCAGCTTCGTTACTTCACTGCTTCCCTGCCTCTGTTCACCAAGCACTGTTTCTCTGCCCATGCCACCCTGCCTTGGAGCCAATCAACTATGAACTGAAACCTCTACAAACTGTGAGCTACATATACCTGTCCTCTTCTAACCCTGCGTGTCAAGTATCTTGTCTCAGCAACAAGGAAAAGCAACAAAGGCAGGGGATACAGACGGCGGACCTGATCTCTGCCAATGATCTTCATGCTATTTTATTTACCTAGCATTTTTCTATTAAGTCAACTTACTTTCACTGAAATAAATATACTTGAAATCACAGGGAAACCGTTTTAAAAGGAAGGAACAAAATGGTGAATGCCTACAGAACTAGGAGAAATAAACTGCATAACTAATACAAGGTGATAGGTACCTACCATGCCTCACACACACGCAGTGGTGAGAATCAAAAAAGATTTAGTATATTAGCACTAGAACATAATACACTAAAAAACATTCGGCAGTTCCTTGAAATAGTAAACATGATTAGCACATGACCCACCAATTCCATTCCTAAGTAGCTACAAAGAATATGAAAATATCACATGAAACAGTGTAGGTGAATGTTCACAGAATACAGTTACACTCAAATGTCCACTAGCTGATGAATGGGTGGGCAAAATGTGTCCCAGACACACAATGAAGCAGCCACACAATGAAGCAGTAACTATCTAGTCACAAAAGAAATGACAGACAGAGTGAGAGAGAAAGAAAAAAACAATACTAGGACATGCTGAAACACTGACGAACTTTATAAACATTATGCTAAGTGAAAAAGGTCAGACAAGTAAAATGCACACAGACAGAAAGCAAAATGTCGGTTGCCAGGGGTTGCATGCAGGCAGGAGGGAACGGGCAGGGAGGTGTGTGGCATGGAAACTGTACACTAATAAAGCTGTTATCAAAAAAGTAACATTTTATTACCTGTCTAATAAACAGGTTACTGTTGTCATGTTAATCTCCTTTACATATCCTCTGCACAGAGCAAACAGTGTTCTCTCTTCTCCACTTAAAATAACTCTGTCCCCTGCCATTAGATTTGTGACAGGCATGGCTCCAGTTTTACGCTGGAAGTTATGCAAGTATTGTCCATCACAAACTGTCTTTACATGTTCTGTTCTGATTAGGCTGCCGATGCAGCTACCACTCTTCTCCCTACAAAAGAGAAAGACACAAAGCTCCTATTTATATTACACACATATCACAGCTGCATTTTTCACAACTCGCTTGTTTATCTGACCCCAGGCTGTAAGTGCTAATATTGAGGCTGTCCTTTTTCACGTTTTCCACAATCCAGAGAGTCAGAACAGCTAAATCAACACCCTTCTCTGTTTGTGTGTGATTTCTCACCACTCCATCACACCCACCCTGGGATCTCTGCACAAGGTGATCAGCACACTGATGCCTGACACACAAACCACTGTGGAGGCCAACTGTAACATCTGCTCCAGAACCTGATGAGGATAACCTAGGGCTAGCAAGAGCGTTTGTAATTATTGCTGTTAAAATAAGTATTTAGTATTTACAACCTCTCTGACACTGCTATCAAGTACTCTGCAATCTCAGAGGCATACTGGTATGTATGTTTGATGTATTCACTGGACTTAGGAAATCTAACTACAACTATATGTGAACTTTCTCCACCATATTTTTCCATTTATGAAAGCTTAAAACTAGAGAAATAAAGATCCTTAGGAATTTTTTTGTTTGGTTGGTTTTTTGTTTTGTTTTTTGAGACAAGGTCTCATTACGTAGTCCAGGCTGACCTCAAACTCGCACTGGTCCTCCTGCCTCAGCCTCCTGAGAGCTAGGATTACAGGTATGTGCCATCACACCTGGCCAAATTATCTCTAGAGTCACACTGTCATCAATATTCATTCTTGGAAAGACCAAAATGGATCTAAGGTAACTAAATTTTAAATGAAGAATATTACTGCAGAAAGATATACAAAATTCTAACTTTATAAAACAAACTTTAGCAATCAAAACCCACAAAATTTTACTACTAATATATAATTTTATTGAAATAATATAGTATTTAAAACTCAAGTAAAGGGCTGGAGATTTAGCTCAGTGGCGTAAGTGCCTGTCTGGCAAGTGCAAAGTTGTGAGTTTGATCCCTGATACCAAAAATAAAAACAAAATTATAAACTAAAAACTCAAGTAAAACCTTATTGATTTTCATTCTACTGACAAATGATAGATATGCTCCAGTTTACACTAATATCACTGATGAAAAAGAACTTACTAATTATGATCAAAATAAGATTTTTCTTTTGTTTTCTATGTGTGGTGCTAGGGATCAAACCCAAGGCCTTGCACACAGTCTACTCCAAAGCCATGTCCCCAGGCTGAAATAAAATTTCTTTCTGTCTGTCTTTCTCTCTCTCTTTCTTTCTTTCTTAATCTTTCTTCCTTTCTTCCTCCTTCACCTTTTTTAATCTTTTTGAGCTAGGGTCTCACTGTAAAGTTCAGGCTGGCCTGAAACTCCCAGTGCTCCACCTGCTTCAGTCTCCCATGTGCTGGGATTATAGGTGTACACCACCACAGCCAGCGGAAATAAAATTTCTTGAACCACAGTTAACCTCTAAAAATGTAAGCACGCTGCTGCTGTGGGCTGTGGCAGCACACAGTTGAAGGCAGCTGCTGCCCCACCCAGAGCGGCAGAGTGAATGCCACGTGACCTGCATGCCAAGTCCAAACACCACAGCACCGGCTTATACAAGTGACTGACATTTCACTCTGCTACATGGACTACTTACATTTCAGAGGCAGGCACGAGCCAGATATTCTGGTGATTCCTTCGATTGTCTTTTGATTGTGACTCCAGGGTTAACATGAGACACCAAAGGCTAAAATACTGTAAGTGCGTGAGCTTCAGGTGCTCAGTAGCTTCTTTTATTCTGGGCAGCATAACCACCGGGACCGAACCGTCCTCCATCTGTTGTTCCACTGCTCTAAATACCAAGGTCCATGTTAGAGTTGTTCTCACATATAGCAACCGTCTGCCTTGCTATGAAGTAAGATTTGTCTAAAGTAAATGCATATACTGCTGACCATGTCCTACTCCAACCCTAATTTTCCTTAAAAGCTATTTTATTTTATAAATCATATGGCTTTTCACAAAACAAAAATGTGTAAGAAATTCATATTATTTTGCCTCCAGTGATTATCAATCAAACAATTTAATCTTGCTATACACTAATCTTCATTCTCATATACCACAAGCTTTGGCCTTTTATACAACTGCACATTTCTTGAAATATCAGTATTTGTACACCCAACTCTGTACCATAAGTAAGTCAATCTAAAACACAGAGAATCATTTGAAGTGGGTTGTTTTGTTGTGACAGGGTCTCGCTAGGTAGTCCAGGCTGGCCTTCAACTCAAAATAAAAGCATTCTACTATATACCAAGAAAATGGAAAATGGACTTTGAAAATATAAACTTGAGGCTGGGGATTTAGTTCAGAGGCAGAAGCACTTGCATGGCGAGTTAGGTCATGAGTTCAATCCCCGTTACCAAAAAGTAAATAAAAAATAAGCCGAACTTATTCTTTCTTCATTCCCTTCATTTCAAGAAATACTACACACCAAATAAAAGTATGAAATAAAAAAGGTCTGAGGATACAGCTTGATGTGAAGCCCCTACGCCCAGTTTCCCAGTAGTACAAAACAATACAGCACAAAATCATCAATGCCAGATCAGCCACCAATGTTACCATACTGAGTTCACGCTCAACTTGAATAAATGCTTTTGGAAGAGTGTGCTTACCTGCTATAAAGAGCACAGTTGTTCATCTGTGAACAATATTTACAGATTTTCTCTTCCTCGATTATTTGAGGCAAAGGAGTAAGCCGTGTCTCCTTTTCATTAGCAGATTTGCTAGTACGGTGCATCAAAGAGAATACCATCTGGTTTCTTAGCTTTAATAATTCTATGGGGAGAAAAAGCTAAGTGTCTTTAAGAGTTCATTTAGTAAAATTTATCATGTATCTTTTCCTTTAGATTAGTAAAACTGTCAGATTTAAAAGCATCAAGAAAAGCAGAAACCAGCAATCATATTTCCCACTATACCAGAAAACCACTGATAGTCGTATTTTGGTACATTTCCTATAAGTTTCTATTTACTTGCTAAGTTCCTGTAACAAATACCTACCTTCAAATGGACAAGGATTTGTCAAGTTGATATTTTATTAGCTGAATGCTGATGATAGCACTATCTGGACATCTCTAATGGAACTATAAAGTTCAACCTGAGATTTGGCATTACAAAATTCTTAAAAGTTGATGTTTTCAACTATAGAGCACATTATTAGACTTCTTTTTTAGAAAAATGCCACAGTTACAAATTACAATTTAGTAGGCCAGCAGGTACTGCAAGCAGACCTTCAGGTATAAAATCATGGCCAGAAGCTAAGGGTAGCAGAGGGGCCAGAAGTGAAAAAAGGCAAACAGTTTCACCTCTTTTATCCAGATGCTTGGCAGGCACAGGGTACATCTGCCCCGTCTTAAGGTAAAGAAGCAAGCCAGCCTCGGGATCCACCCTCCTTTCCTGGCACAGCAGTGTGTAGAGAACCACCTGTAGGAGCACTGAACACTGTTAAACAGAACTGTAACTTTCCCTACTGGTAACCAACACATCATTTTAAAATCAAAAGGCAAATGAAGCTATTTCCATTTAGAAAACCAACAGTTTGATAACAAACATTTAATTTGCCTAAAGCAAATTATGTGGCCAAGTGTGGTGACACATCCTTGTAACCCTAGCATTTAGGAGGCTGAAGCAGGAGTATCTCTGCGAGTTCAAGGCTGCACAGTTAGCTCAATGCCTAAACTACATAATAAGACCCTGTCTCAACCCTCCCCCCACCAAAATTATTTCTCAATTTTAGATAATAAAGTTAGTTTTTCTTAGTAAATATTTAGATTTCCACCAATTTAAAAAGCTAATTCCTCTTTCACACTTAAAAGTTCACATTACTTAGACATTATTTTCCCCATTTAAAATAAATGAACATGAGCTGGGGGTATGGCTCAGCAACATGGTGACCACCTGGCAAACGCTAGGTCCTGAGTTCAATTTCCAGTTCCCAAAAATAAAGAAAGAAAAGAACACTGCAATACTTTTTATGTCATGGTTAGTATGACAAATACATGAACTTCACCCCACAGGCAGTGTATGTACTGTTTCCCAGAGCAAAAGACTGACCAATAGGGGCTGGGCTTTTAGCTCAGTGGCATGAGGGCCCACCTGGCAAGCACTAGGTTGTGAGTTCAATCTCCAGTAGCAAAAAAAAAAAAAAAAAAGATTGACCAATGACCTCCAGAGAAGCTGTTTAAGTCAAGTATGAAACCATCCCTTCCAGCTCACAGCAAGAGTAAGTCATTTAGCTCAGCGGCATAAGCATTTGCCTGGCAAGCACAAGGTCATGAGTTCGATCCCCACACAAAAAAAAAAGAAGAGTAAGTCATTCAGCTGAAGTTGTGTACAATTTAAGGACAACTGACAATTTTCCAAGACATTTCTAAGAGTCAAATATTAAATGGTTTAGGACAACCTAGTCTTTAAATCGTAAAACTCCAAAATATCAAGTCCAGCAATTATAATTACCACATATAAACACAACATCAAATGATATTTATAACTCTATTGTACTTTTTTTTTTTTGGGGGTGGTACCAGGGATTGAACTCACGACCTCGTGCTTGCTAGGCAGGTGCTTATGTCACTGAGCTAAATCCCTGGCTCTATTGTATTTTCTAAGCTACCATTAAACACAATTATTCGCCGGGCATGGTGGAACATACCTGTAATTCTAGCACTTGGGAGGATGAGGCAGGAGGATTGTTGGGAGTTTGAGGCTAACCTGGGCTACAAAGTGAGTTCAAGGCCAGTCTGAACTGTATAGTAAGACCCTGTCTCAAAAAGACCAAAAATAAATAAAATAAAATAATTCCAGTTATACAAAGTGAGCTCAAGGCCAGCCTGAACTGCATAGTGAAACCTTGTCTCAAAAATACAAGAAAAAAATTAATTTATAAAAGCACATATTGCTTACAATGTTAATATTATATCTATAAACTCATTAGCAAGTGCCCAAAACAAGTTTACAACCATGAAACACTGGGTTGGGGTTTTTGTGTGTGGCTTTTTGGTGTTTTTTGTGGGACAAGATATCAGCATGTCATGCTGGACCTGAATTCACTATGTAATCTACACTGGCCTAAGACCTGTGACCCTCCTCCTTCAGTTTCCCAAGGGGGCTCCTCCACACGTGGCACAATTTTTTTGTTTTGTGCCAGTCAAAACCAGTAATGTTTGTGCATTTAACAAATGTAACAGAAATGTAAAAGAAATCCCAATATGCAAATTTTGCACCAAAAATGTAATCCTATATGCCTAAAGGTTAAGGCATATACAGAAATACTTTTGATAAGCTAAAATATCTACAAAGTAAAATGTGGAAACCTTCTGTCTAGAAAACAGTCATGCTAAATTTTGAAGTTCTAGTTAAATTTCCTAAATTCATCTGTATACTTAAGCTTCTTATGTTAACTTGCTGCTTAAACATCAAAGCTTTGGAAGATGTTGTAAGAGGTTTCCCTGCACTTTCTTTTTAGTTTTTATTTTTTAAAATTGTGTTTATTGGTACATTGTTATATACAATGTTCACATTCACCATAGGGAATTTGTACCTGTACATGACACAATTTATTCTTTTCCCCTTCCCCATCCTTCTTCAATACCTCTTTCTCTCATTATTTACAAAAGTTTTGTTTCCATTTTTTCCTTCTTTTCTCATCATTTTTTTCTTTTCCCTTCTTTCCCGTCTAGTTGTGGTTCCCGTACAACATAGCTACTAAATAAAAATGCTGGAGATCAAAATCAATTTTATTCCTAAGTTTCTGCTGCAGATAAAAGTTCCAACTGAATACAGTTTAGCAACCTCTATTCTCTGCCTTGAAGGCACAATAAATCTGAGTATCAACTAGGAAAAAGGTCCTCAGTCTAGACTACATTACCTTTCTCTCTTTCTTAGCATTTCAATCAAGCTTCTTTAAAAAAATCAACTGACCAATTCTCAATCTCATGTATATGAAACACATCCCCTCAAATCTTTTTTCTTTTCCCTTCGGAGTTGGGTACTGAACCCAGGGCCTCATGCATCAGGTAAGCACTTCACCACTGCGCTGCACGCCCCACTCCTAATTTAAAAGCTTTGCCTTCAAAAACTCCCACCTCTATCTTGGCATGATATTTCCCTAAGAGGGCTTTAATACTCTCCAGGCTTCCAAGTGTAATTTCAGCCACTTCTGTATTATCAAGTGGAAAGTTCAAATCTCTTAATAGTAGAAGCCTAATTTTCCACCAACTTCCAACATCTATAAACTCAGTAAGTGAAAAAACAAGGTAACTTTTCATTTCAAACTGAAAAGCTTTTGCATAACCTTTAATATTTCATAAACAATTAAGAGTGGGAAGGAGGGGCTGGGAATTTAGCTCAGCGGCATAAGCGCCTGCCTTGCAAGCAGGCAGTTGTGAGTTTGATCCCCGGTACCGATAAAAAGGAAAAAGACCAAAAAAAAAAAAAAGTTAAAAAAAAGAGTGGGAAGGAAGATTTAATAGAGTCTCTTTAGCCCCTGAATTATAATCCAGTACCTGCAACCTTAACGTTTACACAAAATCCCAATACGAAATAATTTTAAGGACAAAAATAAACTTAAGTTATACTGAAAATCTTGATTTTTATTGTACTGTGTTCCCTCAGCACACACCAGAGAAGAAAGGTACAATTCTATCTTTCAGTATTATCTTTACTGATTTAAAAGTTTCTGTAAGAACATATTGTAGATTGTCTGAGTGGCAAAGAAGATGGAAATCATCAGAAAACAAAATACAACTCTGTGTTACTTTGGTTTCTTAAATTACTATGTGAATTTCAAATAATTTTTAAAACAATGAAAGGTTATGTTTAAGAAAGAATATAAATTTAAAAGATAATTTTAAAAATTAAATTTATTAAGCTGAGCATGGTAATGTACACCTGTAATTCCAGTACTCTGAGAGCCTAAGGCAGAAAGACTGCAAATTCAAGTCTATCCTGGGCAACTGGATGACATATCATTTAGCAGGACCAGGTCAATCAGTCAATCAATAAAGGTTAGGGATGCAGCTCAGTAGGCCTTTGCTTCACTCCCAGTACCAGTACTACATACACACACAAAACCCCAAACCCTTCAATTATCATAATAGCAAAAAACAATTCTATTATTTCATCTCAAATAAATAGCAACATGATCACTTGAAGGCCAAAGGATCACTCCAAACTAATGTTTCCTGAAGTATGTTCTAACATCACATGCAAAAAAAGCCAAAGCTATGGCAAATCAAGATTGAGGCACTGCGTTAAATCTAGCTAAGGCAAACTGTATTCAAATTTTCAAAGCCCGGCATGGTGGTGTACACCTGTAATCCCAGCACTCAGGAGGCTAAGGCAGGAGGATGACTCAAACTTAAGGGTAAGCCCGGGTTACATAGTGAGTTCAAGGCCAGCCTGAACTGAACTACAGGAGACTGTCTCAAAATAAAAAATGATGGGGCCAGGGATAGAGCTTAGTGGCACAGCACCTGCCTGGTAAGCATGAGGCCCTGAGTTTGATTCCTGGTATAAAAAAATTTTGAAAATAAAAAATAAAAAGATTTCTGAGAACATTTAATAAACTAATATGCATGGAAAAATCCCCAAGTACACTTGCTTTTTCAACCCTCTACAAATAAGGAACTATTTTGGCAGCATCTGTGTGGATGGGTAGATGGCAGCATAAACTCGGCGTCACTGACTCACAAGTTCAACTCCTGCACCACTTTGCTGGCAAATGATACACTGAGCATGTGTACACCAGGAAGCTGATGACTCCGACACATTACAATGGAAAAGGTACAGTCCCTGAACTGCACCACCACGCACAACTAATTGCATGCATGACATGAAACAACTAGGCAACTGTTTTAAGATTTATACCTGACCATGATGTTCAATAGACTTGGATTCTTTGCCAGTTTTAAGCTCCAGTGGCATGACTTTATATTTCGCTTTATGACCTCGATGTATTTTCACACCAACTGTGACATCTATTTTGCCCTTTATGCCAAACCTAGGGGACCAAATACTTTCTTCGATATCCAGTGAGTTTATTACTTCAATGTTACATGTTGAATTATTATTACTATCATCACTTGGCCTACAAAAAAACACAGAAACAATTAGAATGCAGCTCACTGTCCGTTTGCTGGTCACTGTTATTATGGAGAATGTGAGGGAAACTCTATGGACCCATCCACATTCCAGTCTCTTTTGCCGAATAACTAATCAAAATGAGTAAATATTAGATAACAGAGGTATAAGAAATTTTAAAAGTTATGGGAAACTCTATGGACCAGTGCTTCTCAAAGCATGGTCCTGAACCAGCGGCATTAGGGTGGTTTGGGAAGCCATTGTGAATGCAAACTCCGCCAGGCTGCAGACTGTTCCACCAGGGGTGAGGCCCAGCCACCCTACGAACAGAGCCTCCAAGGGATTCTGTTTACAACCTCTGTTCCCTAGACTCTGACTAATCTTAGTCCTTAATATTTACTATCTGCCCCTTTTAGGTCATTCTTACTTCTTAACTCAGGCCTTTACCTCCCAGCTCTGTATTCACCCAATGGTCTTGTTACTCGACCTGCTGAACCGGTGATAGGAACTGGTATACACTCATGACACACATTACCATATGACAGCCTGATGTGGCATAGCCAGCCCAGTAAGGGACCTATTCCTTCTTGTGATGGCACCTCAAACTGGTGAGAAAGAACTGCCGATTCTCATCATGTACAAGGTGTAGGTTTGTTCACTCAATACATCCCCTGCATACCTGACATGCCAACTCTGGAGGAGTTCAAGGCCACTTGACTTCATTATTTAAGATTAAGCAAGATAACTTAAGATAGTTAATAATAAGATTAACTAAGATAACAGTGTTATCTTTTTTTTTTTAACAGTGTTATCTTTTATACTGTAAAAGAGGTTCAGACTTTGTAAGTACTGACCAAGAACATGAAAAACAGAAAAAAGAATATGTAAGTGTAGGAGATGGAGATAACTTTTAAAATTTCTTATACCTCTGTTATCTAATATTTACTCATTTTGATTAGTTATTCGGCAAAAGAGACTGGAAGAAAAGTCAGATCCAGTTAATTCTTATTTATGAACTCTACTGGCAAAATATTTTAAACATTTAAACTCAAAGCCTAAATTACTAAATCTAATAAAAAGTTGAATTCTAAAAGAGCAAAATTTCATCTGAAGCAAGGCATAGAGGCAAAAACTCATTATCCCAGCCACTCAGAAAGCTGAGGCAGGAGGACTGCGATTTAGAGGCCAATGTGGTGACCTAGTCAGACCCTAATTCAAAATAAAAGGTGCTAGGGATATAGTTCAGTGGTGACGCACTTGCCTACCATGCTGGAGGATCTGTGTTCAATCCCCAGCGCAACAAAAATAAAAACAATACATGATCTAGATGAATCTGATCTGCTAGTTTCATTTCACAAAGATCAAAAGATATTTGGTTAGCAAATGAATGGAAGATAATGTTGTTTTCCCTAATTTTTCTTGAAACTTGCTTTAAGATGTTTCAAATAAGCCACGTGTGGTGGTACACACCTATAACCCACTAGTGGGGAGTCCCACTAAGGAGGCCAGAGAATCACAAATTCCAGGAAGGTTGGGCTACAAGGTGAGTTCAACCTGAATTACGTAGCAAGACCAAAACAACAACAACAAAAAGATGCTCCAAGTATAATCACAACAAAATGTATCGGTGTCTTAGAGTTAATGAAGAAACAATAATGGAATTCAGGAAAGCCACAATTTAACACAAATGTCTTAACTATTAATATATTTTTTCTCACCAAATAGCTCTGATCATAGTATGTACTCTATGCTTTTATAAACTAGAACAAAATGTATTATTCATAAAATGTCACATGTCTACTGACTATAAAGACAAATAAATTAAAAAAATTTTTTTTGTCTTTTTCGTTTTTATTGGTACCAGGGATCGAACTCAGGACTGCCTACTTGCAAGGCAGGCACTTATGCTGCTGAGCTAAATCGCCAGCCCCTAAATTAATTTTAAAAGTTGCTATTGGGGACCAGGAATATAGCTCAAGGGCACAGTGCGTGCCTGGCAAGCACAAGGTTGTGAGTTCAATTCCCAATACCAAAAATAAATAATAAATAAATATTACTATTAGAATTAGGTATGGTAGCACTCAACTGTAATATCAACATTTCAGGAGACTGAGGATAGTAATTTTGGGGCCTGACTGAGTTACTTAACAAAACCCTGTGGCTGGATGTAGTGGCACATGCCTATAATTCCAGCACTTAGGAGGCTGAGGCAGGAAGATCACTGAAAATTAGAGACCAGTCTGAGCTCCACAGTGAGTTCAAAACCAGCCTGGGCCACACAGTGAGACTCTGTCTCAAAAAACTAAAAAAACATAAATAGATCTGTCTAAAAAAAGTGAAACAAAAGGCAGGTATGGTGGTCAAACACATGATACAGTTCAGATGATAGTCATCCAGAGGAAAAAACATAAAAGTATCAAATGAAAAGTTTAGGCAGCTCAGTAGAAAAAGCCTACTTTCAATTTTTCTAGCACAGGAAAAAAAAAAAAGTAAGAATTTGTTCAAAATATTTATAAATTGAGTCAGGGACATAGCTCAGTGGACTGGCCCCAGAGCCTTCGCACCGAGCTATATGCCTGGCCATTTTTTCATTGTTGCTGTTCTTTGAGATTTGTTATAAGAAAAACATAAATTATAATGTTCCTTGTTATCCCTGGCCTTTTAAAACTTTTTTTTTCTTTTTAATTTTGAGATAGGGTCTCCCTAAAACACTAAACTAGCCAGGTGGGACTGAACTTGCAATTCTCCTGCCTCAGCCTGCCAGGGTGCTAGGATTACAGATGCTCAGGTAGTTTTTAAAAATCTATATACACATGGGCAATAGTGGCACATGCCTGTAACTTAAGCTACTCAAGTGGCTGAGGCAAGAGGATCACAAATTCAAGGCCACAAGGATCACAATTTTTAAAGCCCTGTTTCAAAATAAAAAGGGTTAGGGGTACAGTTCAGTGGTAGAGCTACTTCAACACTACAAAATAATTATATAAGTAAATAAATAAATATTAAAATAAGCTATGAAATTAATAATAAATTAGAATAATTTCTTTTAATGAAAATATAATTTTCAATCCATTACATTCTCTTGTCATACAAAGATAAGAAGAACCAAGCACGGTGGCACACACTGATAATCCCCGCACTTGGGAGGCTGAGGCAGGAGGACTGCTGAGGTTCAAGAATAGCCTGGGCTACCTAACAAAGCCCTATCTCAAAGAAAGAAAGAAAAAAACCATAAAAAAGATAAGCACCATAATCTGTCAAACAAACAAAAAGGCTAAATGTAATAGCTCAGACTTTACACAGTTCTGACTCAACATACAGAACAGGCTCTTGGTCTACAAATATGAACACTACGTAAACATGCATTTCTTACAGGGAAAGCTGCATCTGAGGGAAGTCGGTGGAAACACTCTTATGCATGAAATCTCCAGCCCACTTCGAAAAGGAAGGAAGATACTCCTCTACTTCTTGTTTTATTTCATCTTGACTCAGATTTAAGCGGTACCTGGCAAAATAAGAGACATTAAGTACGGACACGGAAATATGAGCAACATAACTAAAGGCAAAAACATCCAAAACAAGTCAAGTAGCCACCAGCGAAGAAGCAGAGAAATGTGTGGCAACCTCATCAGAAAAGGGCCAGGGAGGGGCTCAGTGGTGCTGAATGCTTGGCGTGCATGTGCAATGCACAAGACCCAGCTCAGCCCCAGCACTACAGAAAGGACAGACACCCTGGCGTGGGCTACGGTGCGGTGGGTCCTGAGGACATTATGCTAAGGGAAAAGGGCCAGTCAAGAGAAGAGATACACAGTTTCACATATATGAAAATCATAGCCAAAACCTAGAACAGGAGTTGCCCAAAGTGGGGAGAAGGCAAGAGGGGGAGGCTTTTATTTAGTGGGTGTAGTGTTTCCATGTGGGAGGAGGAAAACGATCGGTGGGTGGTGGTGATGGGCACAAGCACCACAGCAATGTGAAGGTACTTCCTGCCACTCAAGTTTATATCTAAAAATTCTTAGGAGTATTTTAGCACAATTGAAAAATTCTTGTAAGTATTTTAGCATAATTGAAAAATCAAATAATAGTGAAATAACAACTAATTTCAGATAATATGCCACAATTCAACTATGGCAGATGTCATTGAAAGGGCAGGTTCCAAGTATACCTTTGGGATAAAAAAGAAATAGGAGACGTTGATCCTGAAACCAACTAATAGATACCAGAAATTCAACGAGAGCTGTGAGTGACAGAACACACCTGAAGGCCACGCTTTGGGAGGCTGAGGCAGGAGGATTGAGACTTTGAGACCAACTTGGTTAACTCAGTGAGCTACTGCCTCCTCAAGAGAAACCATAAAAGGGACTGTGGCTATAACTCACGGATAATGTCCCTGGTTTATTTCCCAGTACCACCAACCAAAAATAAAAAAGAAATGCAGCTGGGTACAGTGGTGCACACCTGTAATTCCAGCACCTGGGGAAGCTGAGGCCAGCCTGGGCTAAATGAGTGAGTTCAAGGCCAGACTGCACTACATAGCAAGACCCTGCCCCCCCCCAAAAAAAGAGAGAAAAATATGTATAAGGGGGTAAGATCATACAGACAGAAAAGTAGTATGAACCTTACTACATATACCAAAGAACAATACATAGCAGTAAGCAAACCTTTTAGGGACCAAGTTTATTTATTGCAAAGCATCAACTCTGCAATTAAACCTGAATACTGAGATTTTAGTTTTGAAAAAACATCTGTAATCTGATGCTCAGCTGCTAGGGTGACTTGGCTCAGGTGCTGACAGCGAGGGCTCTGCGTGCCTGCACTGTTCACGTGCCACAGGGTTGCCACCCCTGCTCCACAGGGATCTTAACTTCTTGTGTGGGAAGTCAGCAGACACTAAAGAATCTAGTGTCAGTTTTTCAGGGTCAAGATTATGTCATAACAATGCTAAGACACTATTTGTCTTTGTGCCTCTTTGTTCTCAGGAATACACAGTGGAATTTTCCAAAGCTATGTGGCATAGAAGACAGCAATACATTGAATGGAGAAGCAGAAAGGAAAAACCAGCTGTCTTGTATTAAGCCATTGTAAATATTTGCAAAAATGTAAAACAAGCTCACTTATTAAATTTTTCTCAAAATAATTATTTGCCATGTTATTTATGTTAACATGAAATGGCTTGCTACATGAATTATTCTAATTATCTCAGTTTTGATTTCTAGTACAGTAATTATCTACAGACACTAGCCACATAAATAAAAGCACTTTACAATCTTCACTCTTTTTCTTAAACTATTTCCTGTAACTATTCAGGAACCTGTCCTTAGTTCGTGATTTCCATCAAGCACTTTTTGCAGCATGTAACTTCAAATCAGACCACGATTCACTTTTTTTTTTCCCTCTGAAATGGAGAGTGACAATGTTGGCCAGGATGGCTTTTAACTCCTAGGCTCAAGGGATCCTCCTGCTTCAGCTTCTGAACATCTGGGACAACAGGTATGCACCACATCACCAGCCCAGACTAGGACGCTGAGTTTCCAGAACAGTTCATAGCGGTTAACACCCCCTTGTTAAAAGCTTCATTACTAATTTTAGGCGCATCTCAGTAAATGACAGTCCTGAGATTAAGGTGCTGAAGATAGGATTTTCAAACCTAACCTTTTATCTATGAGAAGGTAAAGCAGGAACAGATCTTTCACTGAACCATAGGAAAAGATAAGAGTCTATGAAAAGACAGAGAACTCTGGACGTGCTGCTTTAGGATTCTTTTGAGGTGTTGTTTCAGCAGCACACATACTAAAATTCAGGATTCTCTTGAATAGGACCGGCATTACATTGCATGAGAAAAATCAGAGAATTTATATTTTTGTATTTACAAAACTTACGATGTCATGATACATAACAAAGATATAATTCAGTCAGTGATAGTCAAGAATGAATCCCTCTAAAATTGTGATCTTTCTATATTCTGCTTTTTTCTATTTTTTTGTTCACAGTTTTTGTTGTGGTGATGGTTGTGGTCGATTTTGTTTTGTTCTTTTTTTTTTTGGTACTGTTGATTGAACTCACGACCATGTGCTTGCACGACAGGCGCTTCTGCCACTGAACTAAATCCCTGGCCCTGTTCTTTCTTTCTTTCTTTTTTGAGAAAGGGACTTGCTATGTTGTTCAGGCTGGCCTTGAACTCACTATGTAGTCTAAGACAAATTCATAGTGCCTTTCTGCCCAACTCAGGACTTGTATTATTTATTTTTATTTTTTTTGAGACAAGGTCTCACTACATAGTTTAGCCTAGCCCTTAATTCGCTATGTAGTCCAGGCTGGCCTCAAACTCGCAGTGATCCTCCTACCTCAGCCTCCTGAGTGCTGAGGACCTGTATTTTTTTTTGTACCAGGGATTGAACTCATGACTGCACACTTGCAAGGCAGGTACTTATGCAGCTGAGCTAAATCCTCAGCTCAGGACTTGTATTTTTGAAGTTTCCTCTCTTACATCCTGGAATGAAGACACCAACTCTCATTTTATATGATTTATGAAACTGCCTCTCTACAGCAGCCATTTATTCTCTGCTTCCTCTTAGAAACAAGGAAACCAGAAATGTGTGTGTGGGAAGCCCTGTAATTGGCTGCCACCTTATATCTGCAGGCAGCAGCCACCTTAACCCCCTCTAGGAGTTAAGTTTGGTATTTAAGCTTCTGTCCTTGCCTAGCCTGTTTGGCCCATTCAGGGATTATGTTAATCAGCCTACTTTAGGAGCCTGCTCTTGGGAGATTTGAATTATCCTATAACCCTCAGTCTTGCCACTGTTGCTAAGTTACCTGCTGATGTCTAGGAACCCAACTCCCTCCTCCCCCAATAGTCTATACATTTGTTACTCTTTCTTTGAATAAACAAGACTTGATCACAATCCTGTCTTGTCTCCATTCTTCGGTCGTCTCTTCTCATCCCCACTCCCCCTCTAGTGTCTACGTTTACTCACCCGTGTGCAGTTGAGGTAAGGCACCATGCACTTACAGCCACAGCCCCCAGGGAGATTGAAGGGGATGACTTGAGCCCAGGTACTTGTAGATGAGCCTGGGCAACAGAGTAAGCCCCTCCAACCCAAACGAGAGTCTAGTCCAAACACTATGCTGAGGGTTGAGAGAAAGGTCATTCTGTCAAGCACACTAGGGTTTTTTCTGGTTTGTTTTTACTGTAGTGCTGGGGGTTAAACCCAAAGACTCGAGCATTCAAAGCAAGCTCTGTACCACTGAGCTACATCTCCCAACTAGACACACAAGATGTAATCCATGGACTTCACTAAATCAGTCTGGTGGCTCAAAAACTTTCCTCCCTTTCACTCACTCCTTTCCCCAATTGGGCAATGGACTAACCAGATATCTAAATATCTACAGGGTTTCAAATGTATACAATGCAGGAGCAGGGGGATGCCAGTAGAGGGTTAGAAAACTTCAGCAGGATCAAAGGAATAAGCTCAAAAGATCTATCATACAACACTACAGTTAATGTGCTATATTTTGAAAACTGAAAAAAGTAGTTAAGTGTTCTCAGCACGCCAAGCAAGTATGTAGGATTGGGGGTGTGCCTGTAGTGGAACACAAGCTAAGCTGCACAAAGCCCTGGATTTATCATTATCACCAAAATAACACAGAAAGGCAGCTGAGTATAGTCGCACACACCCGTAACAGTAGCACCAAGGGAGGCTGAGGTAGAAGCTTGGCAAATTCAAGCCTAGCCTGGGCAACACCACAACTACTTACATTTCCTTCAAATGCCTTATTTCTTGAACAGTTTGAAAAGCAAGTTCTCTTAGCTTTTCTGATGCAAAGCTACCACTTATTGCTTTCTGAAATACTTCATGGAGAACCATACCAATCAACATCTGGCGTGTGGCTGGGTCAGAGTACTATGAAAACAAATCATATAAACATTTTATTTCACAACATATAAACACGTAATGTTATATTGCATGATCACTATATAGTCAGTGTGTACTGGTAAGCCATGTGTCAAAATATTAGTGTTTTCCTGGTAAATAGAAACATGTAATTCTACTCAGAATTATCTTTTGTACAACTTGGAGGTTTTTTTTTTGGACCGGGGATCAAACTCACAACTACGCTTTCGCATGGCTGGCACTTATGCTGCTGATCTAAATCCCTGGTCCTGGAATTATTTTTAAAATCAGTGCATTATCGCTTCTGGGCCTTTTGGCTAAAATCAAGTGTAGTATCTGTTCTTATCAGTTTAAAATCAGTGCATTTCCACTTTGAAAAGATTTTTTTTCTTTTGTCTTTTTGAGATAGGGTCTCTCTATGCAGTTTGGGCAGGCCTTGAGCTTACTTTGTGGCCCAGGCTGGTTTCTAACTCCCAACGACTCTAAGCCCTCAGGCTGCCTCAGCCTCCAAGTGCTGGGATTACAGGCATGAGCCACCATGCCCAGTTGAAAAGATTTTTTTTTTTAAAATACGAATTTTCAACACATTTTCAATTTTTTTTTCTTTTTTGCTGAAGATTGGGCCTTGTGCATGCTAGGCAGGTACTCTATCACTAAGCTACATCTTCAGTCCTTCTCCAAAAAAATTTTGAGAAAGGATCTTGAGAAGTTGCACAGGCTAGTCTCAAACTTATAATCCTTCTGCTTTAGCCTCCTAAGTAGTTGGGATTTTAGGACTGCACCAAAACACGCAGCTCAAATGTTTCGTATTTTAAAACTATTTTTCTCTAATCTTACTGAGCTACCTCTCCAATCCTTTTTTTATTTTTAGACAGACAATCGCTGGTTCAAGTCCAGCCTAGACTCTATTAGGTATTTTTCTTTTTATTACTCTTCCTATAGCTACAGTTCTAGTTTGCTACATACACACAGATTACCCATATAATTTCCAAAAATTGGGAGGAGAGGAAACACATAAAGTGGTGGAAGGCCCAAAAGAGATTGAAAAAAACTTTGGAACAAATCAGGACCTTGTTTGGGTATTAATTACAACATATCAAATGAAAAACTTTTTTAGAAAAAGATATTAAAAATAAACTAGAGCTGGGCATGGTTGCACTCATCCAGCATTCAGGAGGCTGCAGCAGGATTGCCACGTGTTAAAGGCCAGCCTGAACTACACAGCGAGAGCTTGTCTCAAAAAACAAACAGGGGCTGGGGATTTAGTTCAGTGGCCTAAGTGTCTGCCAAACAAACTGGACCTTAAATTTAAGGAAATAGGGCCGGTAGAGCATTTGCCCAGGATGTGTGAGGCCCTCAGTTCCACCACCAGCACTGCAAAATAAAAAGCATAACAGTGATATCATGAGAAAAATAAAACTGTAACAAAATTACCTTTAAAAAAAAGTAAAGTATTGGGCCAAGAGTGATGACACATGCCTGTAACCCTAACCCTAGCCCTAACCCAGAGGCTGAGGAAGGAGGGTCACCATTTATTTGAGGCCGTGCAGATTACATAGTGAGTTCAAGGCCAGCTTGAGCTATATAATGAAGCTTTATCTCAAAAAACAAAACAAAAAGATAAATAAGAAAATAAAATGTATTTATTTCTAGTTTATTGAGAATCACATTAAGCCAACTTTGAAAATGCTTAGGCATGTCAAAAGCTTTTCTTCTTCTTTTTATATTACTGCAGATTTAACAGGACCTTTGCACCGAGCTAAGTCCCTAACCCTTTCTGTTTCTTTCTCCTCCCCACTTTGGTCTGTTTTGCAACAGTCTCGCTACTCGTGTCAGGCTGGCCTTGAGTTCACACTGTAACTCTGGCTGGCCTTGAACTTGCAGTGATCCTCCTGCCTCAGCCTCCCGAGTGCTGGAACTACAGATGTGCACCACCATGCCCAGTTTCCCTTTCTATTTCTGACACAAGTTCTTGCTAAAGTGCCCAAGCTTGGCTCAAATTTTCAGTTCTTCTTAGTCTCCCAGAATGTTGGTTTACAGATGTGTACCACCATGCTTGGTTTAAATTAGAATTTTTAGCACTTAGGGCCTGGAAGTACAACTCAGTGGTAGTGTTTGCCTAACATTCTGAGGGCCTTTGGTTTGATTTCCAGCACCACAAAAAAAAAGGGG